GCAGTGCACATTCCGATTACTGGTACAGTACCGCCATCGGCAACACGTATTGCCTGCGTCGTAATGGCGTCATAATCTTTTCTAAGCGGCAGCGTAGAGATGCGCTCATAATAGACAGGTGCGCACCTGTGTCAATGAGGGCGGTCACAGGAACATGGTCGACTTGTACTTCAAGCAGGCTATGGTGCGTGGGAAGCGTCAGTAGAGGATTTTCGGTCGTCATTGGTATTGCAGCTTCACCTCTATAAGCTGCAATATCTAGTTTTCCTGCTGCGGTCGTCCAGAGAAGCTCGGCGAGGAAAAGCGCCGAGGTGGCGGAGAGCGGGATTGGCAACGTAGCGGCAACGGGGAGCGAGAGCTGCGGCGACCGGACGAAGGGGCGTCAGGGTAGCGGCGACCGGCAAAGGGGCATCAGTGGAAGGCTCGTAAGATGACGACGAATAGAAATTGAAGGGTGTGGCGTCTGAACGTCGAGGGCTCGTCGGATGCATGAGCGCCGAGGTAGAGAAAGTCTGACGTGGTTGGTTTGACCAACGGCGGCGGCAATAGCGAGAAACGTGCCCAGGCTGGTGGCAGGAAAAACAAATAGGTCGGTCGTCGGGTGTTCGCCATTCCGAAGGGTTACGGAAGGGCATTGTTGGAGGTGAACGGCGAGCGTGTCCTCGGGAGTAGGACGGGACTTCAGGGCGAGTCAGGGGACATGCTGAGGGAAGTCCGAGGTTCGCAAACTCCTGCCTCACCACAGCTTGTATTAACGCCACTGACGGCTGTTGTTGGTCAGAGGCGAGCGTTGCGAAAACGGGTGGCTGAAGAGGAGCCGGACAGGCGGCTTCAATTTCCGACGAACAATACGTGTGACGTTGTCATACGTGGGGGACTGGCGGGCGGCTTCACACGATGAGGTCGCGGCCGTGTTGGGCAGCCGGGTGAATCGCTGAGTAATACGGCGGCTCTTGGCTTCTTCGAACCGCCGGCACTCTTTAATGATGGCGTCGACGGTGGCAACGTTGTTGTAAACTAGTAGATTAAATGCGTCGTCTGCTATGCCTTTCAGCACATGGGCCACTTTCTCCGACTCACTCATGTGCTCGTCAATCTGGCGTCAAACGGCGATGACGTCGTGAATGTACGCGACGTACGACTCCGTCGACGTCTGTGCACGGGCCGTCAGTTGATTTCGCGCTGCGATCTGCCGCCCAATGGTGTCGCCAAAAAGGTCGCGGATCTTTTCTTTAAAGGAGTCCCAGCTCGTAATCTCCGCTTCGTGCGTCTCGAACCACACGCGCGGTGGGCCATCGAGGTAAAAAAGCACATTGGCAAGCATAAGAGTCGGGTCCCACCAATAGCTTGCGCTGACCCGTTCGTACCGGTTTATCCATTTGTCGACGTCAACGCCATCCTGACCGGAAAATACACCGGGATCACGAGCAGGAGGTAGAACGACGTATGTAGAAGTCACGGTAGGGGCAGGTGGCAAAGACGATGGTTGTTCAACCTGTGACATGGTTGGACCTATGATGATGCGGCCGTTGCGGAGCTTCGTGATGAAGACGGGGAAGTACCCAGCACGTCCACCACAAAGATGTTACGTAAAAATGACACAAGGTGTGTCTATTTAAAATCTATATTCAAAATGATGCGTATGGCGTCGACTAAGATGGAAGCAGCACGCGCAACCGACAGACCACTTTCTCGTTGTCGTCTTTTCACCGCTGATACGTCAGCTACGTAGCAATATCTTCAAACGCCTAGTTTCGTGTGTACCTTCACGTAACAATACGTAACATTTTAAAATTTATTAGACTTAGAGCATATAAGCAGTCATAACAAGCTTTTAAGCTTAAAAATGGTTAATCAATTTGAGAATATGTTCATTTAAAGAGGCCCTGCAACATTTTTTCAAGTAGCCATAGAATGGATTCACTAAAGTTATTGCCTCACGAATTCACGGCTGCAAACATTTTTAGAATCCGTCCAGTATGAGTATAGTTGCTAAAATTTATCCCACGCTGCAATTGCATTCTCTCTTTTCGTTCCAGCAAAAGCATTGGAAGCTAAGCAGGGAGGAATGGCATGGGAAAGAAAATACGCCGCGTACGCTTTGCAACTCTTGAGCATTTTCTTTGTGTTTCTTTTTGTGTGTGTGGGATCGTGCACGTACACATGTATAAGAGACAGCCTCTAGAGGTGACCCCACTAATGACCAAGCGCGCCATGCTCAAATCAGCCAATGGCTGATACAACGGCTGTGACGAGCTATTTTTGAGCTTGTGGTGTCAAGAGAGCAGTTTTTAGCTAACTTTGAGAATTTATTGTAAATCATAGGCCATGTGCTGCGCTATAATATTTGGCTCGCGTGTTCTCAGTAGCCTCGACCACTGTTCGGCCGCGTTTTCTGACCGTACTCAAAAAGTGTTGCAGGGCCCCTTTAAATTTGAAGTAAAGCTTCGCAGCAAAGCAAATTTCCCTAGACACATGCTTTCACGGCTTAGCACGTTTACACTGCAGTGAAAACATCTTTACAATTGGTTACATGCGAATTAATATACACCTATACGTTCATTGGGAATACTTCAAAATTTTCAATAATTTAAATTTGAATCAAAGTCAATTCTAATGCTCTACTATTCATTTGAATATTCAAAGCATTCGAATATTCGCACAAGCCCACTTTTTATATACATTCTAGGCAATATATTTGCCCTTGATATCTCATAGATGTTCTGTATGTCTCTACATAAATCTTGCTCATTATCTCACCTCCGAAATTGTGTCAGCACTCCTTTACTGTGCAATTAAATCTTTATAGCTATAAGCTACAACGCATTTAAACAAAACCTGTACTCTGCATTCCATGAGATAAACATCACATGCAAACGCTCACACATTGTGAAGTTACAGCTTACAACAAAATAATATCATTACTGTAGCACGCAACAAGCCATGCTTAAAGAGCCTCATTGCATCATCATCCTACCTGTGCACAAAATGTCTACAGGTATTAAGTGCTTTAAACACAGACATAGCAGTCCCATACTCTAAGGAAGCTTTTGTTATATGATTACAATAGAAGCTTTATAACAAATACCAAGGACCTTCTATTTATTTTTATTATTCAATCTGTATAGACAAAACATATGATTTCAAGCAATTGTATAGAGGCCTATGATAAATGAATGCACTAGCACACCATTTTTGCCAGCAACAGCAACCTCAGGTTTTCTCATGCTTCACACAATGAAATAACATCGTTTCTGCTCATACACACACCTTAACCATGATAGTACTAATCTGTCTTTGATAAACATTACCAGATACAAAGACACTTAGCAATAAAGACATACTGGCTATTTCTGAAAGCCATCACCACCATATTCTTTCATACATTAAAAGGCCCTTCAAAATTTTGCCCACATTTCAGCTCCCCCCGTCTAAACACAACCTCCACATTACATGAATAGACACACCGTCCTAGATCTCATCTAAGAGTTAGTCCTAGTACACCAAAAGATGCAGAGAAATTAGCTTGCTCACTGAGACACAGATGCCAATCAGCACTACTGAGTGGCCCATTTTGTATCGTTCAAGAACAGTTCCCTCTGAGCACAGAGAACAGCCTCAATTTAGACTGAGGGATGCGCAACAGCTGACATGTATCCTTCCCGTACCTCCTCCCTGCATTCAATTGCCACGTTTCCTTCACCTGCAAAGCCCAAATATCGTAAAAACCGGAATACAGGTCAATTTTTTTTTAACGCAATAAAAAGTTGACCCTTGTCTTATATACCAGCCACTAGCAGAAAAATATGTGGAAATCTCGCAACAATGGGCAGCTGAAGTTGAATGCCTCCATTGCCATCATGAGCATCGGCAGCTCACGCTGCTGATGCGTTGGGCAAGGCTAGGCAAGGCCTACAGTGTTCTAGCAATGCTATTTTGCCTCGCTTATCTGCTTTCAGTCTGCTGTTCTTATTCTATTTCCATCAGAAATGAGTGGTAGTCGACGGCAGTTTACAACAGACTTCAAGAAAAAAAGTTATCGAGTATGCCAAAGTGCATGGCAACCTGGCGGCACAAAGGGAATTCGGTGCGTCGGAGAAAAGCGTCCGATACTGGAGGAGCCAAAAGCAGCGCATCACATCCTGCAGTAACAAAAAAAAAACGTTTCGTGGACGGAGCGCAGTGCACCCCTAACTAGAAACGTTACTCGTCAAATTCCCCCAGGAGCTGCGTCCAAGGTCGCTACCCCTAACAGCGGAGTGCATTCGCGTAAAAGCTCTCGAGATAGCGCGCGGCTCTGGCCTCACGAGGATGCAATTGAAGGGATCGCCATCGCAGGTGCACCGATTTACGAAGCGGAAGGGCTTTGCGCTGAGGCGGCCTACTTCCATTCTTCTGCAAATGCTGCATCAGTTACGCATTGGATGGGATGGAGGACAATGCACTCTGGGGCGCTGCTAGTGAAAAACAGTTGTCGGGCTTAAGTTCGAAAAAAGTCTGAGTGACAGCACATTTCGGCCTTCTGACATTTGGCTTTATGTACATAAGATTAGTGTCCAAATAAAAATAAATGCCACCACAGTGCAGCTGGTTGTGTCACGTATTTACCAAGGTAAGGGTGCGCCCTGATACTATGAGATTTTTAAAAATTTCTTTATTCGGAGATTAAATGTTTGGGGGGTCGACCTATATTCCGGTTCGACCTACATTTCGGTTTTTACAGTACTTGCACGGGCCAACAACACAGTGACCCACCGAGGGCCACCAGAGCCACCCATCTGCCAAGTGTACAGCAACTACCGAAACATCATCGTCTCTTACTAAACACACCGTGAACCAATTCCTCACAGTACTTCCTCCATCCTACTCCTTCTCCCCATTGCCTTCAGCAGCTCCTACTCATAGTTCAGCTAGACCACTTCACCGCAACACTTCTGCTACTTGGGTCTTGTAAACGCACACACATATGTTCAATATTACAAGGAGAGAACATTGCATACCTGCTTCTTGTCTATAGAGTCAAAACCAGCAATCTTGTTCCCCTTGGTATCAATCAGGCTGCCCATTGGTTCACAGGCGGTCACTTGACACTGCTGCTTAGTGAGGGGCAAAAGCTGGTGCACCATATTCATGGACTCCGAGCGCCTGTTTAACAAATCTTTCTGTAATGTAAGGTAAGCCAGCACTTTAGTAAACCCATGCACCTATCAATAAAATAGACAAGTGTGCCTTGTATTCCTAAACAGTGCTTGGGGAGACACTATTTTATACTAAGATAATTAAAAGTGCCTCAACATGCACAATCGATTGATATGCAGGGTTTAACGTCCCAAAACCACCATATGATTATGAGAGACGCCGTAGTGGAGGGCTCCGGAAATTTTGACCAACCGGGGTTATTTAACGTGCACCTAAATTTGAGCACACGGGCCTCAGCATTTTCGCTTCCATCGGAAATGCAGCCGCCGCAGCCGGGATTCGATCACGTGACCTGCAGGTCAGCAGCTGAGTACCTTAGCCACTAGACCACCGCGGCGGGGCACAACATGCACAATCTTCCCTCGGGTAAAATCCACTGATCAGCTGGACTCCACTCCATACTCGCTCTCCTCTGCCAGACTGCACAGCCGAAGCACAGGCTAGCACTCCAGCTTTTTTGTGCACACAAGAGACACTTAAGAGACAAATGCATGTAAGAGGCACCAGTGTGCCTGAACCGAAAGAGAGGTTGATTAGAAAATGAGCACATCATGCCCTGTTTATAAGAGACCTCATGTAAGAGACAAGAACTGCTCCCCCCTGTGCATGTCTCTTACAAAGAGGTTCAAATGTATAGCAAATGTGCTATATGCACAACAGTTTACATGCAGCTGCATCTCCTGTGTAGGGTAGATACCACCACCTCCATGGAGTGCTACCACAAGTGCACTTCCTAGCTGCATGCCATGGAAACTGCATGCTCCGACTGATTTTATGGGGTGGTGTACACTCGATCACATAATGATGCGACGCCAGCAATGTAGCTCAAGCTCCATCTCAGATGAAGAAAACATTGCCTGAACCTGAAGTAGTAGTCAGGGAGTTAGAAAAGAGGAACAAAACAAAATGGTCTAGGTCGTAGATGCCTGCCAATTTGATGGCGGGCCTTTGACACTGTGCCATTCCACCCTGTATAGCTACCAGCTCACTAAAAAAAAAAAACTGCTCGAGTTTTACAAGCCCAAATCGTGACATCATTACGAGGCCCACCATAGTAGGTGACTGCTGATTAATATCCACCACCTGAGGTTCTTCAATGTGCCCCTAAATCTGAGCACATAGGTATTCTTTGCATTTTGCCCCCACATAGATGCAGCCATTGTGGCAAAAAAAAAAAAAAAAAATCAAACTCACACTCTTAAGTTTAGCAGTACGGCAATGTTATTCCAACACGGTGAGGTAGCTTCCAGAAGAATAGTGAACACAAAAGGAGAAAAAGAAGTCATGGAAAGAAAGGAAAGAGCATTGATGCTGTTTCCTTTCACCTCTTCTTCCCTGGTGGTTTGTGTGGCCTAATTTTCTTGTAACATGTTTTCTTGTAACATGATTTTTTGTAACATAACAAGTTTTAGTAAAGTCGAGTCATTTTATGAACACTTATAAAAGTGTATGGGGGCCCCATTATACTGAAATTTAGGCTTGAGTCAAAATTAAATACGTGATTTGAAATATTTAGATAAGTATCACCACATTCATTTTTATTGAACATAAGCTTTAGTATTAGAAGTTCTCAAAGTATTGCGATTGAACAATAAGCATTTTCCATCTTAAGGTATGATTTCATGGTAATGCGGCCCACACTCCTGTAACTACAGTCGAGCCCACATATAACGGCCCCACTTAAAACGAACTTTCGCTTAAAACGAACAATATCCGCGTGACCGTGAAAATATACATTGGTTCAATGGCACAAAATCGCACTTACAACGAATGTCTCCGAGCGCCGCTGATCGGTTACAGCGAACGGAGTCCGCGGTCTGCCGACTTCCCGGGAAACCAATTTCGACCACCGATCAGGCATCGGCGAAGTGCCCATACATTCTTATTGTTAAACGCCGACCCTGCCTCCGCGCCCCTCTAGTTGCCGCTCTCCCCGACCGCTTTTTGTTACGCACCTCTCCGTCCTTTGTCCCTCCGCTACTCTGAGTACCCCGCATTGCCAGACGAGGCCCGTGTTTTCACACTTCCACCAATCTTTCGAAGACGGGTCGGCCATCTACCCTTTTTTTGATCGCTGGTACTGTCGTTGGCGTCGCCGGCCTGAAGTGACCAGACCATTTGCCAACATCGTCGGCCACGGACTGTATCCTATAGTCTGCGTCTCGTGCACGCGTGTACGCTACCCCGCCGACTCTGATCATTTGTGATTCGTTTCATGTTTAGAACTTATTCTCGCTCACTTCGCACTACACTCAACATGCCTTCCACGCACGTGCGGAAGCGCGAAAACAGCTGTTAATTTGCGTGGAACGAATCGCGAAATATCGAAGTTCGTGAGGCCACGCAAACCCGCCAGCGCAACAAAACGATTTTTTTACCACGGCCGCCGATTCTTCGAACACCACCGAGCGCACCGATTCAGGCGGCCATGCACTCTTTCCAAGTTTTTCTACGTACGAGTTTCGCGGACCTTTCAAACAAGCTACCCAACCTGCCTCCTTCCCATGTGTTTTGGTTTTCAAGGTCACTCTCCCGCCGCATCCTCGCCTCTCTTTATCGCAACTCCTTGCCCTTCTCTCGCAAGTCTGCTCTCCTCTTTTGATCACAACCCCTTCGCTCGTCTTCACCGCTCCACGACGCCCGCCACGCTGGCTCGAATTAGTTTCGTTTTCTGACAGGAAATGGGCCCAGAGCTGTTCCACGCATTCTGGCATGTGTGTCGCGTGTGCGCGTCTTGCTCACTCTTAGTGTTGCGTGTGTGGTCATGATGGCCAACGGGAGGACTAGCACGCTTTTTCCTGCCGCTCAACAAAACGTCGAAAGTGTGACCGCTTGGCTTAAGTGTAATTTGCGCGTTAGATGTCGTGTTGCGGAGCGCTTGGTCATAGCTGTTGACCACCTGGCAGTCAACTTGCCGCTTCGGGCGTCCCGGTCTTCAGCTGTGTAGACTAGATGGCGAATATTTCGTGGGCGGCGGTGACGGCTACATGCGCGCGAAACTGTTTTTGCGAGGCCGACTTCGTCGACGTCGGGCCCAATGCCGAGCCTGGAGCTTCCGAACAGGACCACTGCGGCGACGATTTGTGGCAGCGCGTCGTCGACTCCGACTTGGGAGAGCGGGTGGGACACCTGTTGTGATGGTTTAATTACGGCCGATGATGCCGACACTGCGGAACTGTGCCCGGATTTGGGCATAGTGAATGAAGTATGTGGCGAGAGCGATTTGTAGGAATCGGATTGCGAGAACAACGAAACTTTCGAGCCAGTGCCTCATGCAGCTTATGCCACGGGCCTCGGCGAACGAGCACCCTGCCGTTTTAGATGAACTCGAGACCGCCCTTATCGCTTTTGTTCTTCAAAACACGTGCATCACGGACTTTTTGAGGCAAAAAAAAAGTGTGTTTTCACTCGCAAATTTTTTTAAAAGCTGTGTTTCATTTACTACGAACTTCAGGATACAGCGAACGGATGCCCCGTCACGCTCAGGTTCGTTATAAGCGGGCTCGACTGTACACGCTTTGAGGCGGAATTCTTACCACTGTAGAGCACAAGTCAAAGTGGGCTATGCATAGCACTTGCACAGTGGTTTAAGATTTCTGAAATTTTTTTAGTGCAGGTTACATATAAACACTCTGTAAATTTTGAAGTGAAGCACATTTTAACGTGTCTACTATTCCTTACCCCCCATTTTCAAAGTCTGAAAAAGTAAATTTGTTCATACCTGTTCAGGAATCAACGGTATGTTGTTGAACTTTAGTCATTGTGCATGGCTAAATTTTTCAGATAGATGCAAATAAACAAAGCACAGTGTGGCGCCACTGTATGGTAATCATAAACATGACCAGGAATGCTGATGTCACAAGATAGATGTATGTCATCAGCTACCTTTATCTTCTTCACTAGGTTGAGATACTGCTTGCGAGTCTCTTCCCCGGACACACTGTCGGCATTCTGGGTTACGTGGATGAGTGCTGCCAACATGTCAAGGACCGTAGTGAACAGCTCACTGTGGAAAAGGCAAACAAAAAGGATGTTCTAATCATCAAAAAGTTAAACAGCAGAATAATTATAATAGCAGTAACAAGTACAGCAAGCGGTACTACACTCGTGAAGCATGCACTAAGACTATGCCGATAGAGGATTTCCCGGAAAATACTGGTACAAGCTCTTCAGAGGGATACTGAACATAACTTTTGCCCCCAAGATGTTAAGCCCAAATGAAACCTTGAGAGCCGGATTTGTTAACACAACCTTGTTTTCCTGCGAAGCTAACAGACAATAACAAATTTAATGTGTTTTTTACAAACTAGAGCAAAACCTTGTTAACTCGAAGCCACTGGGGCCGCAAGAAAGCTTCAAATTAAGCAGGTTTTTGAATTAACAGAACATACAAAAAGTGGGATGCAAGGAACTTAGAACTGTTCAAAGTAATCAGTGCTAATCGTTTACTGTGCCGGCTAGCTTGCAGCTCCAAGGGTCATGTTTTGCAGAAATACCTGGTCTTAATTTGGTGGAAAACACAGGGGGGAACGGTGGACCTCACTGCTGCCACCGCAAAAAAAAAAAGAAACAAACGCTGTCGTGATGAACTGAAAAATGCACCTGCGAAAAACAAGACATCTTCACTGCCACACTGTAGTGACACACGGGCAGCATGTCACCTACACCTCGCTGCATCAACAGATCATTATGCGACCATTCGCACATTCTTTCTGGTATAATTAGGAATTTAATAATGGCCAGCATGATGAAACTCGCAATGTGTTTTGGCTGCAAAAAAGTTTTCTTTGAAACTTTCGAACTTAGTTTTCGTATTAGGTGTTGCTGGCAAGAACTCTGCCAGCAGTGCAAAGGCGCGAATTGCTAAAGCAACCAGCAATCGGAGGTTCGCATACATTGCGAATTCTGCCAAACTGTGCTTTATTAATTTTTTTACAATCCCAGAATGGGTGAACCATGACCCATTGACGTTGCTAGAAACATGCAATATGCTGCCCACGCGTCATCGCTGTATTGCAGTGAAGCAAGTCTAATTTTCAGCAGGCACACGTTTTGGTTGACCATGAGGCTGTTTTTTTGTGTTGTTGTTATTGTACTTTTTGCGCTGTAAGTAGCGAGGTTGAAGTTCTTCAGCTACCACTTATTAGTATTGCTACATTCGATTGCCTTGTGGCTATTAAAGGTCGTCGCTTCCTCGGATTTGCGGCAAAATCGGGATCTGGAACTGGCACATGGCACCCAAAGTTTTCGAATTAACCAGACTGGCGCCAGCCGCCGCTTCAAATTTTCCACTCAGACTTACATTGCAAAATACAAGACCACGAAACTCCTTCAAATTAAGCAGGTTTTCGAAATAACCGAGTTCAAATTAACGAGATTTCACTGTATTCACCTAGTGGCCATACCACACACTAAAAGAAGTGACATTGTCTTTGCTGGAGACCAACATGCCAACCATGATCATGGCTGCGGACACACATCTGGCGCTCACACCATCAAAAAGCTTGACCCATCATGCACTCATGCTGCTCCACACTCCAAATCATCGTATAATACAGCTGCCTGTTAAAACAATATATCTGAAATAGGCCCTGTTATTGAAGCAGTCAAGTATTCAGAGTCAAATTCTGATGCTTTTCTAGATTTCTCGATATCACGGGGTTGCAGACTATTTAGATACAACCTGAAAACATGCATCAACAGAATGCCACTACTAAAGCCAATAATGTGTGCTATGGCGGTCGGCTAACAAAAAAAAATTCACTGCTTTGATATCAATATCACTGCATATAAGGTTTCACCACCAATGCTATGCACATTTAGAACTAATTGGTAGGGGTGTGTGAAGATTTGCTTTTAAATTCAGATTGAACAATACCTAATCAAACAATTCTATTCGACATTTGAATAGCTCCAATTGAAACTTTCGAATGATTTGACAGGACGAATACGTACGACGCAACTAAGGCCAAAGGTGCGACTTGGTTTGGTGGGGTGGCTAAAACTAATCCTAATGTTATTACAGTAGGCCTTTCGTTAAAACTTTCACTGATATCCTGGTTCGAAAGTGCCTTGCATCGCAAAAATCCCCTAATCATCTATCATCATGGCTCAAAAGTGAGCTTATGCCTTTTTTTTAAAAGAGATTGTCTCATATCCACACATTATTGCCCCAGCGATGAAAGGCCATGAGTAGTCTGGGAGACTACCAGACTACAAGGGTAGAAAAATAGTCAGCACACTGATCTCAGACTCAGACGTTACAGTGAAGAAGCTCAGAAATACTTCGATGATCCTGTGATACCAAGAAAGGGTTATTCTTTGAAATACTGGAAAAAGCATGAACGTGCCCTTCATCCCGGTATAGCCAAGATAACTTTGCAAAACCTTCCAGTCCCTGCCACTAAAGTGCCCAGTGAGCGCATGTTTTAAACTGCAGGAAACACCATAACATCACGGTGAGAGAGCCTGTAGCTAGGTCGTGTAAAACAGCTTGCATTTCTGCTCGACAATTTGCAGTCTTTTGGTAGCAGTCACTCAAGGCTTTATGACCTCAGAGACATAACCAGATTTCGTTTTCTTGGTCTTTCAATATTCGATAAAATTTTGTATCATCATCATCATCATCATTATCATCAGCCTCACTACGTCCACTGCAGGACAAAGGCCTCTCCCATGTTCCGCCAGTTAACCCGGTCCTGTGCTTGCTGCTGCCAATTTATACCCGCAAACTTCTTAATCTCATCTGCCCACCTAACCTTCTGTCTCCCCCTAACCCGCTTGCCTTCTCTGGGAATTCAGTCAGTTACCCTTAATGAGCAGCGATTATCCTGTTTACGCGCTACATGCCCGGCCCATGTCTTTTTCCTCTTCTTGATTTCAACTATGATATCCTTAACACCCGTTTGTTCCCTAATCCACTCTGCCCTCTTCTTGTCTCTTAAGGTTACACCTACCATTTTTCTTTCCATTGCTTGCTGCGTCGTCCTCAATTTAAGCTGAACCCTCTTTGTATGTCTCCAAGTTTCTGCTCCGTAGCTAAGTACCGGCAAGATACAGCTGTTATATACCTTCCTCTTGAAAGATAGTGGAAATCTACCTGTCATAATTCAAGAGTGCTTGCCAAATGCGCTCCACCCCATTCTTATTCTTCTAGTTACTTCAATCGCGTGGTTCGGCTTCGCGGTTATTACCTGCCCTAAGTAGACATAGTCTTTTACAATTTGAAGTGCACTATTACCTATCTCGAAGCGCTGCTCTTTTCCGAGGTTGTTGTACATTACTTTCGTTTTCTGCAGATTAATTTTAAGACCCACCTTTCTGCTCTCCTTGTCTAACTCCGTAATCATGAGTTGCAATTCGTCCCCTGAGTTACACAGCAATGCAATGTCATCGGCGAAGCGCAAGTTACTAAGGTACTCTCCATTACCTCTTATCCCTAACTGTCCCCATTTAAGGCTTCTTAAAACCTCCTGTAAACACGAGTAAATAGCATTGGGGAGATTGTGTCCCCCTGCCTTACACCCTTCTTGATTGGTATTCTGTTGCTTTCTTTATGAAGCACTATGGTAGCAGTTGATCCCATGTAGACTTCTTCCAGGAAGTTTATATATACTTCATCGACGCCCTGATTCCGCAGTGTCTGCATGACAGCTGATATTTATACTGAATCAAACGCCTTCTCGTAATCTATGAAGGCTATGCATAGTGGTTGGTTATATTCTGAGCATTTCTCTATTACCCGATTGATAGTATGAATGTGGTCGATTGTTGAGTAGCCTGCTCGAAATCCAGCTTGTTCCTTTGGTTGATTGAATTCTAATGTTTTCTTTACTCTGTTAGCAATTACCTTCGTAAATAGCTTGTATACTACAGAGAGCAAGCTGATCGGCCTGTAATTCTTCAAGTCCTTGTCATCTCCTTTCTTATGTATTAAGATGATGTTATCGTTCTTCCAAGACTCTGGTACTCTTCCCATCAGGAGACACCTCGTAAACAGGGTGGCTAGTTTTTCTAACACAATCTGTCCTCCATCTTTTAGCAGACCTGATGTTACCTGATTCTCACCAGCAGCTTTGCCTCTTTTCATGCTTTCCAAAGCTTTTCTGACTTCTTCTATCATTACTGGTGGGGTGCCATCTGGGTTACTGCCAATTCTTATAGTATTAAGGTCGTGGTTGTCCCGGCCACTGTACAGATCTCTGTAAAACTACTCCGCTAATTTAATATCCTATCCATATATCCAAAATTTTGTATATCGCTTCAATATTTGATATTTTTGCCACTATTTTGCCGTACTTCATTTGAATTCTATTTGAGACGAAATTTAACTATTGCCACACTCCGACAAACCGGTTCTGCGGAATCCCGCACGGTGGCGGAAGGGTTAAGAAAGGAAACATCACAGCTACTACATGTGGGTATCCATATGAGTTTTATAAGAAGCTTCATAAGAGTTTCACAGAAAGAAACCTTCTCAGTTGCCGAAACATTCGTCCTGGTCCGAGGATTAAACGCGGGGCCAAGGCCTTTTTCTGGGGAGGTCACACTGCTAATTGAGCTAACCAGGAAGCTAGCAACTGGCAGATCAAGCGCATTAACTGACAACTTGAAGCGCACGAACAAAGAATACTCCAAATTGGTCCTACAGACTCCTGCAATGTGGTCAAAGAGTTAAGAAAGGAAACATGAAAACCAACCATATGCAGCCCGAAGTCACAAAGAAACCTGGAGAAATTTATCAAAAAGAAAGTTCTCAATTGCCAGAAAATTCTTTCTGGTCCGAACTATTTTACGAACACATTTTTACATGCGTCCGGCACTGAACTCACAAGTTGCAGTGCATGTCCACAACCCCATGGTTGATAAGCTGCACAAGCAGCAGGGCCCAGTCGGTAGTGAGGCTGTTGTTGCGCTGTATCATGTCAAACATGCCACCCACAAGACTTAGTCTCAGCAGCAGTGCCTCGTTCAGTAGCAGCCGACTCTTCAAGTCCTCTGCTACAGGCTTCTCCTGCACAAGCCGAACAACATTTTCGGGTCAGAGCAACTGTGAGACAGATGCTGATATGGGAACCCTTTGCATAAAGATTACAACAGCATGCATAATTAGAATGGTCTCTTAGCTCACTTTAATTGCCCTTTTGGTGCTACAGTACTATGCACACAAACATTTTCCTAAAACAAAATGTTCCCTGAATCCTCAAGAGGTCTGGGGTGCTACCAACACAACAAATAACTCTAGTGTCAGGCGCCTAAAGCTCGTGCCATGCATATTTAACAAAGAATGGTCCATTAGGAAGAACAAAAAAGTTCTCTTAGTTTGTGGGGATTCATCATGAGATAAGGTAAAGAGCACAACAAGGCTACAGGGGAGAAGGACCACAAAACATACCGTAATGTGCCTCTTTTCTCTTGCATCCTTGGTAATACAATTATACACAGGTTTAGGCTGCATTGTTCTCCATTGAACTGTAGTGCACAAAATGAAAAAAATGCAGAAGACAAGCAGAAAGGACAAGCTTTAACTTTCAAGTGACCTTACTGGTCACACACGGACATATAAATTTCACAACACAAAGAAAAGTTAACAAAGGAAAAGATAAATATGAAAAGAAAAATAAGTAAAAAATAAAGACCAAGAAGGGTTTCCTTTTTTTTTTGTCTTTTCTGGTAACAGTGTCTCAACTGTATCATAACTGCATTGTAAAATCACTAATTAACCTTTTTTGATTCATATTACACTGCTACTAATGTGAGAGGAAACCTGGTAATCCAAAAAAGGTACAAAATAAAAAGGCAGGTAACTGTTTATCAGCAAAAATGAATTACACTGAAGAAGCCACAAACTGAAGCTTTGAAGTTTAAGAAGTTTTCAGAACGTCTACTGTGGCAAAATAGCCCAAGTGTATGCCAAGTTCTTTCGAATCCGTGGTATCACCTCGTATCAACAGTGAGATTGAGCATAAATTTAAAAAGATAAGCAAGCTTAGTCCTCAGTTTTTCTTCAGGTAAATTTCACTTCATGCTAGCAAAAACAAGGATGTGTAAAAGCATATCTTATCTAAACTGATTTAGTGTGCCTTTTCTTTTAATCTTTGCTTTACAGTGCACCCAAGGTGCAATATACCGTATTTACTCACGTAATCCTTACACTCGCATAATTCTCACACACCCCACATCGCCCAAGAAAAATATGATTTTTTTTGCTCGAGTAATTATCGCACCCCCGAAAACTGCCACAATAATGTCGTCTGCTCGTTCCAGCCACTGATGATAATAGCGCACACCATCTGGCGCCATCTCTTAAGCATCAAGCGTACTATTGCACGGAGATTCAATCCAATTCAAGCTAAGCCGAAGTGGCCAGTGCGCGTTGCGCCGTTTTGTTTGTTGTGTCGGTAATCTTGGGACGTTATGGGGCGATACTGAAGCTACACAGCTGCTTCAAGTTGCAAGTGATGGATCATGCACTAAACAATGGCAACAGGGCCACCGGTAGGCCGTTCGGAGTTTACGAGTTTTGTGTTCGCTACTGGTGACGGCAGCTGAAAGCCACCAAGACGTGTTGGGTCTGCCGTGTGCCTAAAACTGGGATTGGTGGTAAACTTTATTTCTTCAGAAGAAAAATGCGGACGATTCTGTAAAATAGCCATCAGCCCAATACTGACGTCCAAAGCTTACCTTTTGAGGGCTCCTGTTGAGCAATGAACGCTACCGCTACGCCCGCAACGCCCACAAGCTTTGAGTGTGGTATTCTAATTCTCGACAATTCGCTTCCGCTTTTTGTGTCTCAAATAAATCTTGTCTTGTGTTGAACCACTGCTTTTATTGTTGAGGAAAGTTTTAATTAGTACTTCTTGCCCCGCCGCGGTGGTCTAGTGGCTAAGGTACTCGGCTGCTGACCCGCAGGGCGCGGGTTCGAATCCCGGCTGCGGCGGCTGCATTTCCGATGGAGGCGGAAATGTTGTAGGCCCGTGTGCTCAGATTTGGGTGCACGTTAAAGAACCCCAGGTGGTCTAAATTTCCGGAGTCCTCCACTACGGCGTCTCTCATAATCATATGGTGGTTTTGGGACGTTAAACCCCACATATCAATCAATCAATTAGTACTTCTTAAAGCTTTCTGTAAGTTCCTGGTGTGAGAATCCCTATTTGCGGTCACTTCGTTTTGTCTTTCGCTCTTCACGTTTTCGTGGAAAGTTTTCCCCGCGTAATTCTTGCACCCCCCAACTTTGCACCGGTTTTCCGGCAAAAAAAAGTGCGAGGATGATGCGAGTAAATACGGTAGTTCAGGTGTTTTTGCACTCTCCTTTTACTCTTCAACTTTCATCAGAATGCAGTCAGCACAGCTACAAATTGAATTTGCACTCTAGCACTCAGTAGCCCAATGCTAAGGCGACTGAATTACTACGGCTTGTAAGAAGGACGAAGAAAGCAGCTCAACTCACGGGGACACACTGCGAGAGCTGTGAGTGAAGAGAGTTGAGCAGGCCTTCCCGCTGTTCGTCCTGGCCCTTGAGGCACATGAGCACCAGTGACAGGAATGGCTGGTGGCTCAGTAGGGATGCACTGCAGATGCGGGCGGTGCTCCAACTTAACTACATACTAAAGTGTGCCACAACACAAGCTCTGCTTCTAATCTGTGTATCCCCTTAACGTTGTGGGGTTAATATTTGAAGGGTAAAAAAATTTCAGAAGAAGCTAAGCACCTGCAAGTAACGGTGCAGAAAATGACAGCTATAGCATTAAGGGACAGTAATGCTGCATTAAGGGTTGAGAGAAAATAGGCTAGCTGATAGTCCATTTAAAGCAAGGTCAAATTTAAACAAAGCCGACAGCCAGTTGTCTGTTAAAGAGGCCCTGCAACACTTCTTTAGCATGGTCAGAAAATGCTACAGACGGCTAGTCAAGGGTCCTGAGAACATGCCAGCCAGACATTTTTATAATTCATTCTCAGTCAGCCAAAAATTGCTCTCTCTTCTCTCTACAAATAATGCCATATACCCAAATTACTGCAGTATAACTGTAGTTGACGGCTGTTGGCCGATTTGAGCAGTGTGAGCTGCATACCCCAGCGACCGCAAGACGCCGCCACATGTCCACACAAGCGCTCATGATCACGTCAAAAGTAAGCAGTGCGTTCGAAGAAAAAATAAAAAGGAAAGCGCTAAAGGTCATGATGCGAGCCGACAAAGGACCGCATTTTCTTGCCCCATTGTTATTCCCCTCTCTGCAGAGCTTTCAACACGCTTGTCGACACACAGGGAGAGAAAGAAAGCACTTATAGCATGCAACAAATCCCTGTTACTCTGCTTACATTTGACGGATTCTAAACATCTTTGCAGCAATCGATGCGTGAGGCAATAAGCTTTTTTTAATGAAGCCGCTGTACAATAACGTGGACAAGCCTAGCAGGGCCCCTTTTGAAGTAAGGTCATTAAACGAAGCTGAGAATCGCAGCAGAACAACATTTAAAAGCGCAAGGTGAAGTGGGCTGATGCGAGGAAGGTTGGAAGTCTTTGGAAAGAGACATTCAGCAGTGCGCATATAAACAGGAATCAATGATCATGATTCACAGAGACCCCACTGTGAAAGTCAGTTGATTGACACATCAGAAGTCACCAATGAAAATATTTTCATCTGTGGTTGCCTATCAACTTGTAAACAACACGCGTGTGTAAGTACACAAATATGCAAATAGAAATGAAATTGTGAACACTGGAATTATTCAACTCAAGTATAAAGTTTATGCTAGAGTAGAATCAAGCAGTATTTTCCCTTAAACAAAACAAATGCCTCTAAATTAGTTGGTTTTGCATGTGGTTGCTGCACTCCTATAAATATTTTTAGAGGAGCCAAAGTCCTGTTCTTTGAATGGAACATATTTTCGTGATCCCTCTAGGTTCTATAGGGATTTCATTGTTCATAAACACTGTCCTTTTTTACAAAAGAGGACAAGTGAGCGCATGGCCTGCGCTCTGCCGCGGCTGCCTACAGCACCACCAACCGACAGATAAAGAAAGCGCGTTCGCTTTTGGCATTATCTACTAGCAAACAAAATGACAAGTCATGGCACTTCGAGAAGCGCTGCTAGATTACGCTCCCGTTCCAGTCTCGCAGCGGACGATGCCACCAAAGCGGATCTACTTTCTTTATCTATCGGCTGATGGCGCTGTAGGCCGCCGTGGAAGTGTGCAGGCCACGCGCTCACATGTTCCCTTTCATAAAACAGGACACTGTACATAGGAATTTTACTGTATATGTACACTGTTACAACATCTGTCAGTACAAGTAGATGTGACTCCACTTTGCAGCTCTCTAAGCCGATTCGCCTTCGACATAAACAATAACAGTGACGAGCTGTGATGAGAAATGCACCATGACAATTACCTTCTCTGCACCTGCTTGTCTTTGTCCTTGTTCTTAGAAGAAGACGAGGAAGTGATGAAAGCCCAGCTGCCACTCTCCAGAACTTGTCCTGCGGCCTTCAAAACCTTGCCCTGAACTGCCGCAGGCAGCTTGGCTATTAGCGGAGCCACAAACCAGATACGGTCGTTCTCTTGCCTGCAGTGAAAAAAGAACAAAACATGTGATTTTCACTCTACAAGAATCATACAAGGCTACCAAGCATTACTTCGATAACAATATTAGCCACCACAAAAATACAAAAAGCAGGTGCGTGGATAGTTTGGTTCAGCAGATGTCGAACCAAACAATCCTAGCACCTGCTTTTATTATTCGCACAACTCTAGTTTTTAACCCTTGACTGCTGCTGTCATAGTGAAAGCACAGATGTGCAGTCCTCACCTTCCATAGCTGCTGCCCCCATTACCGCTGGGCCTAGCAAATGGCATTGGTGAAGATGGATCTCCTCCCGAGGACCGGTGGGACGATGACAGAGGCAGAGAAGACTCCTCGCTAGTGAGCTGAAAGACATCAATGGTGGCCCGCGCTACACTGTCTAGCCATCCGTTGACCTCAGCAGGGCTGGCACACTGCTTGTAGCGCAACTGCAGCTCCAGCCACGACACCCGCATGCTCCATTGGTCCAAGCCCAGTAGCACCCGGCTCACCAACTGCCGCTGGTCACATGGTTCTTCAAAGAGTGCAGGCACAAAGTTTAGCACCGTCTTTTCTGTTTATTAGAATATTTAAAAGGCTATCGTGGTGGATTCTTTGTGTGCACAGACAAAAACAGCCAACTCCAATTTTATTGGTCACTCTGCTTGTGCACACGACATCATTGTTGGAGCTGCAACAGGATCTTTTCAAAGGTCATGAGAAGCATACATGTACATCCAAGCCTCATTGGAGGAACGTTAAGGGAACAGCAGATATAACTTCATTATATTCCTTGCTTGATGATATCCATTGTTATACTTCATTGCAACACATGCCTAACATGCCACTGAACTTTAAACATCCAAAAATAAAGGACAGCATTGCAGCTTGCAGTAATGTTTATAAAGCCATGTACCGTATTTACTCGCGTAATGGACGCACTTTTTTTTCTTAAAAGAATGAGAGTAGAGTTGGGGGATGCATTTATTATGTGGGGTAAATTTTATGAAAACTTTTTTGGGAGGAGCAAAAAATGCAGTAATGCAAAAAAAAGTTAGGTCGCTTAGTCTTTTGCCACTGACATACGCATACACTGTCTGGAAACAGCCTCTTTGTTGCACTTTACTCATCTTCGGTAGTTGAGGGCGCTATCTTCTGCAAGTTGATTCAATTGATTGATTTGTAGGGTTTAACGTCCCAAAAGCACCATATGATTATGAGAGACGCCGTAGAGGAGGGCTCCAGAAATTTCGACCACCTGTGGTTCTTCAACGTGCACCCAATCTACGTACACGAACCTACAACATTTCCGCCTCCATCGAAAATGCAGCCGTCACAGCCGGAATTCGATCCCATGACCTGCGGGTCAGCAGCCGAGTACCTTAGCCACTAGACCATCGTGGCGGGGCTATCTTCTGCAAATTGTTCCCGGGCCGCCCACGCACACCATAAAAGCGTTTTGCGGCTATCTTTTTCTAGCAATCGTTTAACCGCTACAGTGGTATCTGCTGTGATCTCGAGGGGCGCCCATAACCGTGCGCTACGACTCACTTTGCCAACTTTGCAGCAACCTCGCACAACGACCGTGACAACACCGTTAACATTGTAGCAAGTAACCAACATTGCAGCAAGCTACCCTGAAAGCATCAAAACAAACTGCCAATAACAAGATTAATGACAAAATACGGCCGCCGCATTGCTTCTACATGAGAAGTTCCTGTACGCTCGGATAACCCAAGCGATTTTTTTCTGGTTTTCCAGAAACCTGTGACGCAATAGTGACGAATTACCCTTTGCAACAGCAAATCCTGTCATCGTGCTCTAAAATTGCATGCATGTGGTGGTTGGCACGGGCAGTTTCGTGACCTTCACTCGCTGTGTGCTAATCAGCTTGCGATGTCTCTAGACTCGCACCGTTCACGAATCCCACTGTGGCGCACAGATAAAAAAGACGGGGGACATGCCGCGCACAGACAAACAATACGGCACGCGGCAACGGGCTAGGGGGAGAAGGAGCAAGCCGAGGTGGCCGAAGGGGATCGGCAAATAATAAAGAACAGAAGAGATCAACGCGTAAGAGGCGCCAAGTGACGATTAGCGGGACTGCAGCGGATGAATGTAGGGGGTGCGTTTATTATACGGGAAAAAAAAATCCCAATTTTGATGACTGAAGTTGAGGGTGCATTTATTATGCAAGTGCGTTCATACGCGAGTAAATACAGTATAGATATAAAATTTCCTTAAAACAAGAAAGTATCTTTCGCATCAGAACCGGCATATACATTTAAAGCAGGCACTGAAATCCTGAAAGCATTTCATATTCACAAAGCTAGCTAATATTCATCAGGTTCTATCTATTGTTCTTTCATGCAGGAATCTCTCTTTTAATGTCGTGGGTTACACATCTGTTCAATGTTATCTGCCCTTGGCACCTGTGGTTCTATCTTTCTGCTTTGCAGAGTTCATGGTTCCTGTAGTCAATGTTTGTTAGGTTACCCATTCCCAATTCAGGTTATGTGCAGCTAGCTCTGAACTTTTCTACGTAAGTGTCTTCTTTAAAAAAAAAAAGCTTTCAGATGTTTGTGGTCTGTTCTTTCATATTTAAATTCAGTTTTATTAACCTTTTCCTTATAAAACTTGCAGGAAGACAATGCAAGAATAAGAGCAAAAAGCTGGTAAGTTGGCAGCTTGATGGGGCTCCTACCCCCTTTTTCCTTGGCATCGGAAACCCGCAAACTCCTGTCCCCTTTAGCACTGCGCTACCCAATTCATGACAACATGGAGGCATTCTAAGTCTTTCTTATTATGCAGACATGCTTTGTTTGTAAAGAAGAAACAACAGGTATAATCTTCTTACTGTACAGAGATACAATTGAAATTTAATCGAATGAAACCCAATTTTACAAAGTTCTCAATCTAACGAAGCAATTTCCATTACTGGGCAGTTACCCATGGGGTTGCAATGTTGTCATCAACCCGAATTAATGAATCCAACTTTGTTCTAAACTCGATTCGACATAGATTTTCCAAAAAAGATCAGTAAAATACCAATGATTTCTTTTTAATTTTGACACAGACGGCTCTTTTTTTGAGCTTGTGTGCTCCAACACTAACATTTTAAAACATCTAGCCACCCTAGTCGGGATGCTAGCATTACTTTGACAAGGCTGCACGCCACGCCAATGAATGGAACGGCAAACGTGGCAGTAAGTAGCACTCCCACAGGTACACTATGGTAGTTGCACTGGTTATTCAAAGGGGACACTATGGTCAACTATTCAGTCGGCATTGATTGTTGAAATGGCAGTCCAGAAACCTCGTAGTGTTACTTTTGTGCCAAGAAAGGGCCTATTTTGAAATAAAATCACGTTCTAGTGGTCTGAATTGGGTTAGCGCACTTTAAATTACCCGCCTCAAGAAACGGACCGTCCAGACCAACTCACGTTACTGTCGCTGTGCACATTATTGTCCGGCTTTACTGCTCTAGTAGCAGCAGGCCGAAAGCAGCGGGAGTCACAACAGAAACAACGGCCATTGATCAATATCCTTCCATTGGCTCCGAGATTGTGGACGCTAATTTTAACTGCGCCCCGCCAGATGGCACCACCTGTCCCGTGTAACCACGCGTAAATTGAATTTTCGAACCACTCGCGCCATTCCACATAGTAGCCTCCGGCATTTCTTTTTTCCATGAATCAAACAGAAAACGAACAAGTAGCGTTTTATTGCATCTTTTGATGCACGGAAGGTTCTTTATCTAGTGCAGTTAGATCGATACTAGTGAATCAGTGAATAATTGTAGGCAGTCCGTCTGATGTCATCGCGATCATTTTGAAAATTTCCTACTGCGCCGCTTGTGTTCTTGTGCATTTACCTTATTTCTCCGTAAGTAGGGCACTGTTGTTGATAATATTGTCATTTTTAGGTGTTGTCATACAATGAGCTTTTCACTCTGACGTAAATTGTTATGCGACTTTAGTGTCCCTTTAATAATAATAATAATAATAATAATAATAATAATAATAATAATAATATAATAATAATAATAATAATAATAATGATGATGATGATGATGATGATGATGATGATGATGATGATATGATTATTATTATTATTATTATTATTATTATTATTATTATTATTATTATTATTATTATTATATTATTATTATTATTTATTATTATTATTTACCATCTACGCAACTTAAATTTGATAGAAAGGTGTGAGACTAGAAGCGAGGAACCCTTGACACAGGTTTCACATTTTTTTACAGTAGGCCGCAGCAGCAAACATCATTATATTGAAATTATCTGTGCTCACAAGAAAGTAAAACAAAAGAGAGAGAAAAATGCCTGGAGCACATTTCCATGCGTTTCATTTTTCAGCATATGCGTTATAAAAATCTATGGGGATGCAAGATTACAAGTGCACGTGTACAGATATCACTGGCAAGAATTTAGCACAATAAAAAAAAATATGATGACAAACTCGCAATGACATATACAGTCACCATCCGATTTCTCAGACGCTTGAAATTCCGACATGCCGATTTCCTGGTCAGATCTCTGGCACCATCAAGAACCCCATAGAGTGAATGTCTTGAAAAGTCCAAAATGCTGGACGTTTATAGCTTCCACGATCCGATTTTTCAAGCTTTTCACCACTAACCGCTGGCTTGAAGTCACTATCGATGCCGTTATTTTGGTTTTTTTTCGGACCCTCGAACCACCACGCCACTGCTGCTGCACCCTCAAAACCAAAATGCTGCAATCCAACGCACACCAATCCATTGCCAGCCGTAGCATAGGCTGCATGGTGCTGTTATGGTGCCGTGCAGCCTGTGCTCCGAAAGTGGGGAAAAGCTACGCTGTTGACCTATGTCTGCCGTCAGCATGCCATTTGTGGAAAGCGGTTACGCAAAGAGACGTTTCGGAACTGTTTTCGCCACGCAAGCTTCATAGTGGATGCCGAGACGGCCATCGCACCCAGAGTGCACAGTGTGTGCAACGAACTTCCACCCACGGCCGTTGCCTTCGAAGATCTGCTCATTACCGGTGTTTCGATTCCAGCCAGGAGAACCTTTGAGGGCTTCGCCGACGCTGACAAAGACCACGAGCTGTGTGCGGAATTGACTGATGACGAAATTATTCGTCAAGTTACGAAGGATTCTGGCGACACCGAGACTGAAGAGGCAGTGCCTACACAGTCAACGAGCTCCGAGTTGACGCGAGCACTGACACTGTCACATCAGAGTACAGCGACAGCATGACGTTAACTGAAATTGAGGCAGACATCATCGCGGGCAAGTGGAAGGCCGTGCAAATGAAAATAAGCAACCTTTTTTTGCGCCTAGGTGTTTTACCGGCCCCATCGTATTTTTTTTCTTATCTTTCTTTTAGGTCTTTTTAGAGCCACCTAAACAATGCATTAGCTGAATTTCAATAAGAACCCTGTATTCCTCTTGCGACCCTCTCCGTCAACGAAAAATACCTATTGAAAAGTGTGCTATCGCTTGCATTTGTTTTTTTGGACTGCTTTTATTTTCTAGACATTTTCATGGTCCCTTGAGGGTCCGGCAAATCGGACAGTCGAAATTATGTAGTTAACGTCCGATTTCCCAAACCCTCAAAGAAACGCGAAAACGCCCGAAAAATCCGACGTAGACTGTATAAGCATGAAGTGTGTAATAGTGTCAGTAGACTGGTTTATCAGATGTGTCTACACTTAAACAAACATAATGTGCGATGTTGGGGAACACTTTATATAGTGGAGAGACCAATTGCAATATTGTCATCTATGCAAATTTTTATATGGTTATCTCATAGTTTATGCAAAACCATAAAATAATGATTTTAATTATCTGAGAACCCATCTGTAGGACTCAAGAAAGATGAAAATGTGACTATATAGAACCACGATGCAAAAGAATTGAGGTATCGTAGAAAGCTGTCACAACGAGCATACAAACTACAACATTTCAACCCTTCAAGGTTTAAAAAAAAAATGCTCTTCTGATGTCGCTACCTCTTTCGTGTGGACTTGAGCCACCGCCTGCCGAGCCACCATTAGCACCACTTCCCGAGCTGCTGCTGCTACTTCCAACAACACTGTTTCCCACTATAGAACCAAACGTGTCCATGCCGTTGTTACTGGTGCCAGGGGAAAGCCACGAATTCGTGTTGCCACTGGTGGTGCTCTTAGGGTGGCAGATCATGTGCAACAATGTCTCCGCCTGAAATGACAAACATATTGCCCTAATAAGTTTTCAGTGCCCAGAAGAGCAGTATTGGGTATCACAATACCACATAGATTCAATGGCATACAACAAGGCTGTCGAAAACAATACCGTAATTACTCGAATCTAACGCGCACCTTTTTTCTGGTTAAGCGAGTTCATAAATCGCATGCGCGTTAGAATCGAGTACGAACAAAAAAATTACGATCAATCTATTGCCATCGGCAAATCCAAAATGGCCGCCCCCTACGTGCGTCGGCATGGCATGCCATTTGGCGTCGGCCAAATGGCGTCGGCCATTTCTCCCTATGTGTTTCCCATGTGCGGCACTTCGTACGTGTGCTGAGGAGTTCGTCATCTAGTAGTGCATTAGCATCGACGGCGTGGAAGGGCCGACTCCAAAACTCAAGTGCACTACGATGCCGCTTTTAAAAGAAAAGTCATCGCGTGCGCAGAAACGGACGGAAATCGGGCCGCATCACGGTCGTTCGGAGTTCCCAAAACGTGCGTGCGGGACCGGCGGAAACAAAAGCCGAAGATTGTCGACAGCAAAGCTTCACGCAAAGGCTTCAGTGGACCACAGCAGGGTCGGTTTCTGCAAATTAAAGAGCTGCTCGGCGAGTATGTGCTTGAGCAGCGAGCGGCACAGCGGCCCATGACGACAGAACTGCTCCAAGTGCGGGCTATGCAATTAGTCTTAGAAAAAGGTCTAATGCGGAGCCAGTTTAAAGCGAGCAGGTGCTGGCTAACTAACTTTATGAAGAGGAAAGGCTTTTCCCTCCAAAGGGGAACATGCATATGCGAAAAGTTTTGCGGAGGAGTACGATGAAAAGCTTCACAGTTTTCAGAGGTTCGTCCTAAACTTGAGGCGCAACAATGGCTATTTGCTTGGGCAAATCGGGAATGCCGATCAGACGCCTCTTTACTTCGACATGCCTGGCACCACAACCGTCGAGAAGAAGGGAGCGAAGCAAGTTCGCGTGCTGACATCGGTGCATGGTAAAACTACAATGACGGCAATGCTCTGTTACACGTCAGATGGGCACAAGCTTCGCCCGTACCTCATATTTAAATGGAAGACGCTCCCGAAAGGAGTCGTTTTTTCGAGTGGTGTGATCGTGCGGGCCAGCGAGAAAAATGGGTGCGCGTTGCAATCGATGTCTTACTTTTTTTTTGTTTTTTTTTTTTTTTTCGCGGTAGAAATCGGGTGCGCGTTACAATCGAGGGCGCGGTAGAATCGAGTAAATACGGTATTAGGAATGTCATGCTCAAGCACAGTCAATTGAATGAGAAATGAGATAAAAATAGGCATTGCTTAGTTACAGCACATATCACGTACAGACAAAAGGCAGCACACCTATGGTGCCATGTATGTTTCTCTTTTGTTTGCCTTGCATGGCTATCTTCTCTGTGTGCCACAAATTAACATCACATTGGTAAACATCAGTCAAGAGGAAGTACATCTTTCACAGGCAATTTTCGAGATGCGGCAGCAAAGTAAGTGCAGTGAGTGCAGTGTGACGTCAAGAGCCACGTTTTAGCGGGCTGAAATCTTCGTGCTGTCCTGAGCTTGCGGCCCTTGTACACACTGCGTGATCGATCTCTGCTGGTTACACACGAAACGGCCATGCAAGAAGCCTGCGTATTCACTTCTGAAACAGGAATGCCAAGGATACGATGTACTGTAAAGCCAGCAGTGTTTGGGCATCAGTTCATTAAAGCACTTTGCTTTCAAAATTTTTCAGTATTACTGCAGGTAGCCACCGACAACCCTTCACATCGAAGGCCACGCCAAGGGGGTGCACATTTGTGGTCACTTTCTTTGTCCTTTTGTTTGTCAATTCTCTTGTTTGGAATATCTACTTTTTCAAAGTGACCACAGCATATTTACTTATATTTTAATTTAAATATATTTTGCATAGAGGCTGCACTATATATACACAATCAAAAAACAAGCTGTTCCCCTCTCCCAATAATTTGTTGCACTTGGCTAGTAACAATTATTTGCCAATATAAAAGCATAGATTCAGTATCTTTAGAAAAATGTGCACTGAGCTTCAATGCAATTTTTTTCTTTGCAAGTGTGTTTCCTTGGAGTGAGCACTGCTTCACTAACAACAGCCCCAGTCATGTTCTAAATGAAGAGGAAGTGCGTGCTGCACATGCTAGAGCTAGCTTCTCCAACACATGGGTTCATCATTAGAGTAAATTCCAATGGTATAAGACAAGCCAAACGTGCTTGCACCTACGAATTACAAAATTTCGTTACCAGGCTAAAGGTGTCACAAGAAATGTAGCTGTACAATTATGAAAAAGGTGCATTGTGGCAACCAACTAGAAAAGATTGAACACTTGGAACGTTGAAGCAAGTCTCAAAGCATACCTGTTTGTGTGACAGCATTGGATCCAGCAGCAGATCCGGCGAACAGAGAACATCGGGATCTCTCAGGCAGCGTTCATGAATCCACTGTTGGCTGCAGATTGCGCCTAAGGCGTACTTGGCAAATTCATTCAGGCCAGCACTGTCTATGCCTGTTCCACGTGGAGCTCCCACACTACTCGGATGCCTGCCCAAGGTGGCACTGTGCAACACATAGGAGTCAATAGAAAGGGACACCAGTTAAGACAAATTCAGGCATTGAGAAGCACCGTACGTAGCTTCGCAATGCAAAAAGAAAAGGGGAGACAAAGGCTTACATTACAAAAGAGTACTGGGTAAATGAGAATCATTACACATTCAGTGAGCCACAAAAAGACCACACCATACCGTTTGAGAGCTGCAGAAATGTGCAAAAGTTAAACACATAAATATGAAGGCATTCATTCTGTGCTCTTCACACGTCTGCTAAATGTGCCTTTAACACGCTACGACCCAAATTTCTAGGTTACATATAGCGTTGAATTTCTTCTTTATGTCCATTAACCAGGTTTTTTTTTTTTTTTTTTTTTTTTTTTTTTTTTTTTTTGTCTCTTAAGCCGGCCGCGATACACCTGAACCTCTTCAAAGCCTGCACGCTGCAAAGAGTTAAATTTGATTCAATGTCCCTTGCCAATAACAGCAATTTCCCGCAAGATAACAAAAGGAAATTTAAGAGACAACACCGCAACCCGACTTATTCCCCATGTCAGTGTCTACAGTGCTGAAGTTTACATACATATAACTAGTTTTCAACTGGCTATGCCACTCTACAGTGAACATGGCTTTAATGAATGTCTGCAACTAGGCGTAGACTCCTTATAACGTCAGTCACCGAAGTTTTGAATCTGACTCACTATAGGCAAAATATTTTTGTAGGTTGCACATGAGGAAAACATGTTCAGTAAGGAGCCACATGTTTGAGGCATGTGACAGAAACGTCTGAAGGCATAGCTTGCCTTTAAAATGGGGCACACAAAATAAGACGAAGGTGACAACACTCATCTGTTTGAATATCCGAACATTTAAATGGACTACGCAACACTTTCCATTCACTCACTGAATGATTTTATTAAATGAGCTTATTGCCTCACAAATTGACTTCCTCAGAAATTTTTAGAATCCATCAAGTACGAGTGGAGTTGCAGAAACTTGTCGCATGCTTTACGCGCTTCCTCTCTGCTTATATGCATACAACAAGCAGTACAGATGTAACAAGATGTACAGATGTATGGAGGGGTTAACTAGAGCCGGAAAAGACTACAGCCAGTCCTGCACTAAATACAGCAGCATCGCAAGTGCTCTGAGGTGTGCATAATTGATAACATAGATGAGAACTCACGGCACCCCGAGGTCAAAGTCTGTGTCATCTATTGGGCCAAGAAGGTCATTGATGCTGGGCTCCCCTTTGCCCTGAGCCGAGTCCAGTTTCGCTTTGGCCTCCAACGTCGGCGTGCTAGCATCCCCTGTAATTGCAAGCCCTGATGAATATATAGAGATGCTGGTCAGAAGAGACAAAAATTGTGTTGCTACAATGACCATCAGCCTAAATTCTGTGTAATAAAAAAAAAAGGAACCTGGCACAAGAGGTGTCACTGTGTCTAGTATCAAGGCTGGACATGGGTCCTGAATTTTTTTTTTTTTTACCTATGGAGATAAAACTTGAGGTCAAGTTTATGTATATTTATATAATGATTTCAAATTTGTAATAATTTGTCCTATATTATGTAGCTTTAAAAATATCAAATGTTTCATATGCCTTTTGGGAGCCACAGTATGCCTAAACTGAGAGAGATACATAGTAAACAAGCACTTTAAAACAGCTTAGAATGAGTGCTGAATGTAAGAAAACAAAAATGGTTGTTTTAAACCATTTGAACAATTCATATGGTATGTTTAACATTCACAAATAAGTGTACGTCCCCCCCCCCCCCAAGCTGGAATTTCATCACAAATATTCAACAAACCACAACTTTTGTTCAAATTATCTTTGAACATCTATTCTTGTTTTCTTGCATTTTGCACTCATTCCAAGTTATTCTGATGTGCTTAGTTACTTTGTAACGTTCTCACAGTAGGCAAATAAATAAAAAAGCTATACATTCTACTATCAAAATACGGTAGTTTTATATTTAAAATGAGCACACAAATGTACACAAGCTCAGACAGCTTCATATAAATCAATAAAATTTTATTGTTTTAAGTTTTCAGGGGTATAAAATATCACTTCCTTTTTTTACATATCTTCAATTACACCATAAACGTTAAAAAGGCTTCGCAAAGGGATAGAACTGTGGTCCCGTCATTTTCAGTATGAAATGACGACAGTTATAGCGCGAGAACAAAATGACGACACAGAGACAAGAAGGACACGAAAGACACGAGCGCTTTGTGTCCTTCTTGTCTCTGTGTCGTCGTTTTGTTCTCGCGCTATAAGTATCGTCATGCCATACCAACCAGCCCAAGCTGCTACACTTCAGTATGAAGCTACAAAGGAAGACTCTGACCAAGATTAATGTTATATCAAGTGGGGAAGCTCAGAAGCACCCATGTGCTACAAGTTTTCCATTTATTAAAAACTATACTATGAAACAAACTCAGCTAAATGCAGCACTTCCACTGATGCTTTTTTTTTTTTCTTTTTTGGCAAAGCAGTGCGCACAGTGAAGTGATTTATTGTGTACCATATACGACCCTTTACGATGACAATGAGTTAGGTTTAGCTCTTGTTCTATGCCCCATTTCAATCAATCAATCAGCTTTACTTTTTGTGTATTTCCTTAACAAACAAAGGAGCGGCGAATAAAAGCTATTTTCCGACAGCTTGACGAGCCCGCTGCCTCCATTACAAGGACTCACAGCAGCGCAGCGACAGTTACACTTACACTTACATGCATCTACATATGAATATAAACAAAGAAGTTTGCAAACAATAAAACATTGCAGGTGCCTATGACAAAGCAAGTGGCCATATTTATGGCCAACGCTTTCCAGAATGGGTGTCCCATTTGTGACAACATCCAACGTGATGCCACATTGCAGCAAAGGGCATATCATCCACTGGCTGATCCAGAGTATGCACGTCAATTAGTGCTACAAGCAGTGCCAGGGGAGCCTCGTACCGAGCAGCAGGATAGCCTTGAGGACTGCAAGGACTGGCTCGACACGCATGCTGCTGTGAGCAGCCGACAAGAGGTGACGATCACATGGAGATCGAATGAGAAAGAGAGGCCTTGGAAGGGGCGTGGCATTTCCCGCAGGTGGTGCGGAGTCTACTGTGCGGAAGAGCCGCAGCAGCAAGTGGCACGTCAACCGGGCACCCAACTCTGCATCCTGGTCGGCGTCGCCACCCACTGCAAAACACCACCACCACAAAAGCACATGTTACCACAACATCCATACTGAAAAAAAGGTGCAGCAAAACTTTTCATAACAGAGTGCAATGTGTTGGATATTAAAGAGCATGACTTCTCCCATGGTTTTTCTTACAAATACCAGCATTACACTTGATGCACAACTGTGAACAAGATGTTCACAGATAAATTTTATTTATTTTTTGCAAGTACTGGAAGTTTGCCTTAAAGCTACATCATTAGGTTTCCTTTAAAGTCTGTGTGTAAGTGCATTTTCATTGAAATCCACACTCTCTCAGCAGAAGTAGTTTGTTCTTGCTTGCCAAAATCAATGCTTGGCTATGACGTGTAATAACATTTGGCTAATTGCAGAAATATGTACGAAAAGCTGTAGGAATTGTAGGACGTCGAAAGAAAACTCACTTAGTCACCCAAACAAAACTGCAAGCTACCTGCTGTGAGTATAGGAACACCGTTCTTAATATGTTTGTTATGGCATTGCCTAGTAGCTTACAACTATTGGTTGATTTACAATTATTAAAACAAAACGTAGAACCTCAATCAGACCATAGTCACTGAGGGTCGATTCAGCAACTTCAGCATTATTACAAGATATATGTTTTATGCAAGCCTTGAGAATCTTCAAGCAGACACAAATAAGATTGACATTTATTGTATTATAAACCTGAAGTGATAAACACTATTTTGTAAATAAGGCAAAAAAGATGGGGAGGAGGGGGAACCAATATGACCTTTCAATATAAAAATCGAATCGCTCTCTTAACATTATGTTTCCACCAATATCAGTAACATATGACATAAAGAATCCTTTCCCATGTACATTAGACTTTCCAATCATGCACATGAGCAATATGAGAAAGCAAGCTTTGTATTCAGGAAGTGATTTGCAAGTGGATATAGCCGCACGTTTAAGAATATAATCGGCACATCTAAAGCAAGTTGAGCAAGAAAACCACACACCGCTCACAAGGCACAAACATCTCAGCAGAAACCATGGATAGGAAGAACAGGCGATTTCTTTGTAGTTGGTAGACCAACATGGCAGTAAGGATGCAATGTCAGTTCTGCATGACACTTAACAGTGTTTTGCCTTATGTTGCTTTTCATTCAGAAAGAGCAACGATCTTTTTAGGCCTGTGGTTCTTGTGTGTTCTCAATGCTCAAGCAAGGTACACCAGCCCCTAAAGTGGTCTACATTTCTAAGCTGACAACAATTCTAAAATATGGAAGATAAAGACTAAGTAGACTTATTAAAGCCACAAACCATTTTACTGGTTGCTGCAACAGAAACCTTAAAAATTCCGTTTTTTTTTTTTTTTTCTCACATTCTACGACCTATAAACTGTTAATGCTCAGCGCACAAAAATGCAGGGAGCCACAGAAAACAATATGGCAGCACACCAGGACTAGCAGAGAGCAGCGACGGTATGGCCACATGCACCACGAAATCCTGAAGGGAGAAACAGCGCCTTGCCACCAGAATGCACGTGAAGACTGCCAGGTTGTCGTGGATGGACAGGTCGCCCACCTGCAGGCATGGAACCACATTTCCCGGCTGAAGTTCCCCTCACGTAAACACCCCTCTTTGTCATCTCAAAGTGCTCCGACAACACTACAAGGGCCATGTAAGGCTGTGACCAATTACGATGCTTACTTTAGAAGCACACATTAGCTTCAGTGCATTAGAACAATCGTATAAAGCCCATGCTAAAGGGTTTTTCTCAGGTATTGCCATAGTGTGTCACTCAAGTGCAACAAACACTACAAGAGGTGCTGCCACCTACTTGAAGAGTTTAATGAGCAGCTTTAGGCAAAGGGCCACTATGATAATGGGAGTCTCGATACAAGTAACAGCAATACGGATGATGAAGACCGATTACAGTCAAACCTCGTTATAACGAAGTTGAAGGGAAAGTGTAGTTACTTCGTTATAACTATTAGTTTGTTACAGCCAATATTCATTTCTACCAACAATTAGCCAACAAGAGAGAATGTACTCGCCAACGAATATCACAGCTGCCCTCCACTCAGATTAAAACAGCCGTCGGAAGGCAAAAACTAGCAAAATAATAAAGAACAATGCACTTTATTTCCGCCGAATTCAGCCCACCAGCTGACAGATCACTTCGAAGAAAAATATTCCTCAATAGACTTTTGCCGAATCTTCCTCATGCGGATGACTGCTTTTTCAGTTGCAGCCGCTATTTCGAGTCCGTCCTTGTCGTCATCGTAACCACCAAAGAAGCGGCACAAGACGAGACGTAAACCGTTGTGCGCTATAAGATTTTGGAAATTGACGTATACCAAAATGATCAGTAAATACTCATTGTGGACGAAGAACGGTTTGTTATATCCATTGTGGGGAAATTTTCACTTTGTTAAAACGAGGTTTTAAACACATGGGCGTCTATGGGAACTTCAAGGGGAATTACAATTGCTTCATTATATCCATTATTTCGTTATATCTTGTTTCGTTATAACAAGTTTTTACTTTATCATCACTGTAGAAACCTCCATTCATCATAAATAAATACCGTGTTTTATAAATTTCAACAGAAGCTAACACTGAAGGAGCATTTTAAAACAAATATTAAATGCTTCCAGAGAGGTTAGCTGTCAACGTGCACAGCATAAGCATGAACTTCTACTTTTTACAGCATCCAATATAATGAGGGATGAAAGTTCTAGGTCAATATTAAAAAAAACTGAACTCTCCTGGCTGAGCTAAAAAAAATTTTTCTTTCTTTACTAGATCACTAAACTCACCTGATGAACTTAGAAACTGAATAAAACTGGCAAGAAGTCTTCGATGATCCTGAATCGGCATGCTTCCTAATACAAACAGAATGCACAGTGCATGCGCATAAACGTTTGGCTAAAATGGCGAAAGTAGCACATCGGTGCCTTTTAAGGGTCTCTGCAACACCTTTTCAAATTTATGTAAGTGGTTCGACTACAACTAAAGTGAATCATCCGCACCTCGACCTAACTGAAGCACAAAACGTCAAGGAAGCTACGAGCAATTAGGGATCACACCCCCCACCAGATGTTGTGAAAAATCAAGGCTGCTAGGCCACTCACTCTTCCTGTACAAACGCTGAAAGGCCAATCAGGTCAGAGTGACATATCAAAACAACGCCACATTCTAACACCAGAGTCTAACAATGCATAGGATAAATAAGGTCATTGAGACAAAATGGAGCAATAAATTAGTAGTCTGTAAGCTTAAAATGAAATCCGCTCGCACGGGGCTGCACAAATTTGAGATCTATGGGAGAAGCCCTGCAGTGAACACAGAATAAGCTCATGACAACAATGACCTAATCAACCAGGTACCTCATTTCTAAAAGCACCTGGTCTCCAAAGCTAGGTATCCCTAAACATTCAGAGATGCAGAGGTAATATAATACTCACATCAACTTGAGTGAGGACATCAATGAAGCCACAAGTATGATTAGATGAGCAGCAAAGCGCTTTGAGGACACCCAGCCATTCAGCACTAAGCAGACCACAACCGGCAGTGAGTTCAGCACACAGGAGAGAGATGTCATTCAGCCTGGAAGAAATACACAATACATAGTATGTCACAAAAACTTCAGCAGCTGTTGCCAATAAGTGTGCCTGCTTTCTTTGGTCTGGACAGGGCATCGATACAAGTAAAATCAGCTAACACTTCAACGCTCAACACAGCCAAGAATTGGTCTACGTGTGTATACTGCTACATATTGTAAGATAAAGACATGTACTGGAGCCATGACTGACAGTAAGCCTGGGTACAGGAGTACAAAGTGGTGTATTGAAAGACTTGGAAAAAATTTTATTCAATGTTTATTTGGTTATGAGACATAAAATTTACAGACACGACATTGTGCTGTCATGTTTAACCGGACAGCACACAGTCATGTTAAACGTGACATCTAGTTTTTTCCAGTTGAGTGAAGCAAAACCAAATAATGCACAGTACAGCTTAAATCACAGCAGAAAAGAGTAACATTTTTAATGTAGCTGTAGGCTTCCCTATCTTGAAGAACGTCCAGCTGACAGCGCGGTATTCAAAAGAAATTCGTACCTGTCTGCGTCTTGTGCCACAGATATGCTCTGAACAGCATTGCAAACAAAGCTGTACCTAAATGCAGGGTTTTCACTGAGCTGTTTGATTTGTTGGGGATCAACCCTAACCCTGGAAGCAAAGAGCAAAAAAAAAAAAAAAAGAATAATTAAGTTCTGATTCAGGTGCTTTACAGAAATCATAGTACTTCTGCTTTCGATGAATTATCAAGGCTCACTATCAGGGTCAGTATAGATGCTGCTCTGATTTAAAATCAATCACAAAACACTCGTCCACAGCAGAAGCATCCTCAGCACAGGCCTTGGCCTAAAATATACAGTTAAAACTCAATCTAATGAAACCCAATTTTATAAATTCCCCATAATAGCACTCCTAACGGTGATATTATGGTCCTCAACTTTATTCAATAGCTTTCCCAGAAATACATGAGTAAATTGAGCAATTTCTTTCTAATTTTGACAAAGACAGGTTCCTGTTGTTGCTTTTTCAGGCGTGAACTGCAATGTTATCCCGTCAGAACATCTAGCCGCCTTGGTTCTATTCGGTACGTAGCACCCATGCACAGAAAAACAAACTTAGATAAACAGTCAGTAGCACTCTTAGGTACCAAATGGCAGTAGGGTGTTATGTTGTCTCTGTAAATGCTCCCATGATAACATGATGGTTGCTATCGTTATTTAATGGTTTATATGCGAGAGATGGCACAAACTGCCTGCTTGCAACTTCGCTGCTCTGCCTGCTTGCACAGTGCCAGCATTCGGACTGGGTGGAGGGGGGGACCCTCCACCCAGTCCTTGGATATCACGGTGTCAATGGCTAACAAAATATCACAGTAGCTATCGAGTGTCGCTACATTATAAGTTTAGTTTTCGAAGGGACGAAAAATCTCTTTCTCGATTTAGAGAAGTGCCCAATTTAAAGAAATAATTTGAGCACGGTCATCACTTCATTGAGCTTCATCTCTAGGTACGTAAAGCAATTTGAACTTGCTAGGTCTCTTTCTTAACATTTTTATAAAATCTAGCCTGAATAATGGCAATAGTTGGAATATCTCTCTCTAGAACACCAATTTCTAAACTTGATGTTTTTATAATAACCAGCACTAAAACTGTCCCTATCCTCTTTCCAGCACACAAGAACACAGCTTTATTTTTTAGGCATGAATCTCAGCGACAAAAATTCAGGGACTCTCTACTACAGCATACCTCATTACTTCAGTGTTCACTTGAGGCATCAAATCCACGCTACCAATCAAACTTTTCATGCACATAAGTATAAAAAAAGCAGCATCAGGAGAAGAAAATGACCATACACACAAGCATAACACTGAAATCTGATAACACTAGCAGTTTACTGGTCCAAATCGGGGAGCAACGGTATTTTATTAAAGAACACATGGCAGTTGACACGAACAGTGCTTACCTGGGGTTATTTACACATTCAATCATGTATGAACTATCCCAACGAAGGTTGAGAGAAGATGGCGTCTGAGGGGCGTACAGTGTTTGCTTGACTTTTGAGTAGAAGGAGCCAAAAATTTCGGAATGCTTGGACTGCAATGAAAACAGGAAACACCACAATGTCTCAGTTCAACTATATGTGGAAAAAGAAGGGAGACAATTTAACCTAATAACTTTTAACTCAAAGGAAATTGTGAGAAACATTGATGCATCAATAATTGATGCTTTAAATATCTGTATAAAAACTCATTAAATCTTGTACAGCCTCTTGAGATGTCAAAAGCAGAAATCTACTTATTTGGTCTTCCAAGACTATATTGAAGGGATAAAAGTTTACTCAATTGTCATTCGTGTCTTCTCACAGAGTGCATTTATTAAAACAGAAAGCATTTTATATTTTTGAAGCAGCATGGCAATCCTCTTCTAAACAGACTGCCACAGCTTGAGTCATTGTGGTGTAATCAGTGTCTCTACTAATATTCACTGCGTTACATTGCCATGTTGCAGTGAAGCTTTTTAACACTAATCCATTTAAGTGATTCACAAGTGATGCAAATGAAATCCTGTATGAGCCATCTAAATTTTGAAACATGCACCTCAATTTTTACATCTATTGCATTGCTCCTCAGATTCAATGCATACTTTGACAGCACCACCAAAACATTGTTATGTTATGCCAGCATAAATATTTACAACGATGCAAGAACTTCAGTTAAATGGCCCCTAAACTGCCTAGGATATTTTTCAACATTTCAAGTACATGGACACATCAAGTTCAAAGTGCCTTCATGACTAACAGTGCCAAATGTGGCAGAATTACGAGTCACAGCTGCCCCGCAAAATCTAAGAAACGATCCCTTCTCTTTTCTGTGACTTTCGGCAATTCTCATTCTCTTAATATTCACTGAGACGTGAACATCGAGTCAACATGTCATCTGTTCATCATCCAGAATACCCGTCTGCATCCTTGAAGGTATGCACGCTCGTCACCCTTCCTCTTCAGACTGTGAGGAGAAAACTGGGCCAGGAGGAGAGACGAGCCGACGAGCAAAACATAGCAAAAAGAGATTGATTGATAGATATGTGGGCTTTAACGCCCCAAAACCATCATATGATTATGAGAGCTGCCGTAGTGGAGGACTCCCGAAATTTTGACCATCTGAGGTTCTTTAACGTGCACCCTAATCTGAGCACACGGGCCTACAGCATTTTAGTCTCCACCGAAAATGCAGCCACCGCAGCTGGCATTGGATCCCACAACCAGCGAGTCAGGAGCAGAGTGCCTTAGCCACTACACCACCGCAGCGGGACATAGTGAAACAAGAGAGGACGTCTTTTTTTTTTTGTCATCAAAAAACATGCAACTCCTGAAAAACTGTCATGGCTATGTGTTCACTGTAGCTTTGGCACAGCTGTAACACAACTAAATTTCGACCTCTGGGTGGCTTAAATGTCCTTCAACAAAACACATAGCAAGGCTAGTAGGTTATACATTCTTACAGGAATATTCCACCACTGCTTTTGATGGGGAAAGAAATGAGCACTGGAATATATTTGAATTAAGGATGCAAGAAGTGATCACTAAAAAGTGTTAGCAGCACAATTGCAGCGGCGCACTGCAGCACAGCAGTTAATATGTCAAATAAAGATATGAATTGCTGTTTGATATACAATACATGTGTAGTGTGATACTGTACTTTCACATAAGATTTCTTAGAGTATGTCACAACTGTATGATGTAGCAAGTAATTTCATACATCCGGCTTTGACTATACACACACTGGTGCTCACCTTGAGGTAGGAACATGAAGAGTACAGGTCATGCAGGTAGCACAGTATGCAGCGTTCTGCAGAACTGCATTCCGCAGGGTTGGCAACATTCTTCACTAGCTTGCACAAACTGCAGAATAAAATTAACATAACACAGCTAAAGAATTTATATAACACAGCAACTTAAAGTTACGTTATCAGTAGGAAGTGCTGCTTCCCAAGCCCTATATTGTTCTTGTGCATGCAGTTTGTAAGCCCAGTTTTATTCAGAAGACTTTCTTTCAAAAAAAGCTTTCGAAACTGCCCACTATTTTTTTAAACCAAAGTATACAATGAAATCTCTAAGATATGGACATAGTTAATCTGAATTTTATGATAACACAAGCTTTAGCAATGTCCCTGACCTACATTACGTAGGTCACTAAGGTTTGGTCTTATATAAATAGCTTTTCAATCAATCATCAGCGTTATGAACACACGAACTATTGGGGCAAGAAAGCAGGCCAGAGCGCCTAGTCTCACAGATAGGGCATGCACAATGCAGCCACTGGCACTCCTATATACCTCTGCCTGTCCAACAGTAGCAACAAGCAAGGCGAGAAGGAAAGGAAACGAGCGTGCATTCATTCAGACAAGCTCCATCAAAGAACTTTGGTCTTCTTTCTGCACACAGAGGCCTTTTGATGGGCTGTGCTAGCCAGCGATCGTTGGATCATTGGTTTGCTGGTAGGATAGGGCATGTGTCAAACCTCATAGCCTCAATTGCTTCAACTTTTTTCTACAGCTGCAAAATGTGCCACCAGGCTAAGTAGCATATAGTTCAACAAAGCTTTACTATGACCTCTGGCAACTGAGCGCACACACATACAATATAACAGTGATGCCCACTCGACGGTCTGAAGCCAATGTCACCTTCTCAACAATCTATACTGCAGAGACATTTTCTCCAGATGCTTGCTTTTCAAGTTAAACTAACATATTGTTTTCACTAATGATGATATTATGTGCACGTATTCTTAAAATGGGGCCAAGAACTCACGCACACAAATCCTGCAGCTAAGCAGAGTAGCACAAGAGCAGGTGCTGCCACATCATCTCTGGTCTTCAAGGCAAGATAGGTAGTAGTATAGTTAGACCCCTTTATAAGAGGCATGCTCTGGGTCTCTTATACGAGATGTCTCTTATAAGCAGGGTACCTCGTATGCATTTTCTTATCAACCTGTATTTTACTGTAGGCACACTGGTGTCTCTATACCCATTTGTCCTTTATATCAGTGTCTCTTATAAAGGAGTTCGGCTGTATTAGCACACTGTCTTTTAAGGTTGTGCCAAATAGAAAAATTAACTATGTACTGAGAGCTACAGATATCAAAGCACAAATAAACAGACATGTTAGAACATTTCTCACAAAAACCCAATGCAATGAAAGTAAATTTTTGAGAAGCTATATAGCCACTGCGCAGTGGGAAAGGAAGGCTTTTATTAAGTGAGCAGTGCAGATCAGTGCTTTGGTTAAAATCAGTACAAAAGCTAGAGTGAAATCCCCTCAACAAATTATGCAGATGAACTGACCTTTCACAAGCTTGTAGAGTGTAATCTTGACAGACAAGCAGGCAACAATGATACCTATAAAATAGGCCTACAATGTACAAGCCTAGAGATGTTGCATATGATCCACTAAGAGTAGAGCCCTTCTGAGCAAGCTGGTTCTCAACTTCAACGAGTTCTTTCAGCAACTGAAACGAGACAGAAAATAGGGGAATAATTTGTTTTATACAACATATTGCAGAAGGAAATCATCTAAGTCAAACCCTGAATGCAGGCTACCTCAGTTATCACTAGAAACCGGATTTTAGACGAATGCCTATTTTGTTGCGTGCATTCCTATCGTGCCTATCGAGCCACCGAGCATGATTTAGAGGCTAAGGATAGCTTTTACAGTGTTTTTATAGTGCCTATAAATGCCTATTTTTTGTGTTTGTGCCTAAATTCCTGTAAGTGCCTATAATTGCTTATCTTCAAGATCGCTGGCTATGTGAACACTATTTACCCACAAATTTTGCTTTAGAGCGCAGTTTCACAACATCATTTATGTTAGTGGGCAAAATTGACATTTTGGAACTGTATCCGGTGTAAACTAGTTCTCTTGTTTGACAAACTTCTGTAAACAATCACCATCAGCCGAGAAATGGGTCGCACCAACCACCTTCAACCATCGTGCTGACATGGCAGGAATGGTTGCAGGTGTAAAAAGAGAAGAAAAGATGCTATTTTTTGCTACCCCAAATGGGAGCACGTACCAGCGTATATAGTGGAATGGGGAGAGGAAAGTACAGGGGCGAAGAGGAGAGTGGAAGAACAGGAGAGTGCCGTCCATAGCAGAGGATGTTGCGGGCAGCTTTTAAAGCCAGTTTGCCAGGCCAATGTTTTCAGAAAAATTGAAGCCTCGAAGTCTGGGTGTGGTAGAGGGCAAGAAACAGTTGGTACCTTTGTGCAGCCGCAGGAAAATGAAGTCCGAATGCGAACCCATCGAGTTCCATCAGGGGAAGATAAAAAAAGTAGAGCGTAGGTAACAAAAAAAAGAAAAATCAGATGTGTAGGTGGATTTTGTTTTGTTTGTAATTTACAGATGTTTTTAATCTACCGCTGTGTAAGCTGCACGCCTTTGTATCGTATTCGTTATCAATGAACAAGACGATAGCAACCGCAGTTTCCTGCACAGCGGTTGTGGCACACTAGTTCAGTTATCAATTCGTGTGCACTGCAACAGTCGTGCACATCACTTAAGAACTGCGTCGTTGCGACCTTTGTTCAAATAGTTACGGCAAGAAATATTGGATTGAGTCGGTGTGCGTAGATTGCATGCGTACTTTCGTGACCGCCAATGATCGCGTTCGACATGACTATATTTGTGTTCACAGGGGTTGCGGCAGAATGCAGTCACGCTAGAACTACAGGTGCGTGCTGCTCGCGTGTGCGGCTTCATGACGCATGGTTGTCATTCACGATCACAGGGCTAGTGACGACGAGTGGTAGTTTGATTTATAGTGCAACGTCAAAAACATATGGCTGGGGTTTTTGGAGATCATAATTCTCTCACGGCCCGCACGTACATCAAATCCACCAGCAGCATCATAGTGGATGAGAGAGCTGCCACCGAGCGTCTATTATATAAATTTAGCGGGATGTGTGTGTGTGGTGGCAGAACGAATGTATCCGATGAATACACGGTTGTTTCGATACAGGCGTGCGTTCTGGATGTCACAAGTCGTTGAGAAATGGCCGAGTTGGTACGGGCATTTCGCTGCAATCCAAGGCAAGTTCCTTTTTCTTATGAGGTAGTACTCGCGAAAATTTCATTAAAGCAGAAATATCCAGAAAAAGTATTCGTTGTGACAAAGCATGTTTAAACTTGTTTTCTATGGGCGGCTGACGGGGAATCGAAAATCATTCGTTGTAGTGGAAATTTCGTTATAGCGGAATTCGTTATAGCGGGATTTGTTTGTATCACATCTTAATGAGAAATATAAGCTTTTATTGTATTTCCAATTACTTAAGCTCTCAAGTGTGCTTCCCCGCCACCAAAATAACTCACATTGGCAACAAGCAGCATTCCTTGCTTAGGACAACACCAACTGAGAATTTGGATAGGTCACAATGCTAAGAGTCTTACCAACTGGCCTAAAACAGTATCGTCCTAAAGTTGAGTAGGCCATGGTGTGCAAACCAAGCATAATGACTAAATACAGTGAAAGTCAAAAGGCATAATATGAATAGCTAGATGCAAAGAGATGACATATTCACCTGAAGGCCAAACTTGATCAAGCCGTGAATGTTGAACGACAGCTCCATAAGGTCGAAGAGAAAGGCAATGTAGTCGACAAGGGGCAGGTGATTCAAGGACCCTGCAGCAAAGCCGGCCAACATTTCCACCACTGACGCAGCGCATGTTTGGGCAACCACATGTTGGTCAAAATACGAAAGGGACTGGAATCTTGCCGTGACTGCCTCAAAGTTGAAACCTTCACGAGCGTGTCGTTTGACCTAAATGAAAGAAGAAAGCACAGTGTAATTCAAACTGTTGCACACAAAAGAAATTAAAGTTGTTGCTATATACAAAATGTACAAGCAGACCTACATTTAAACATGTGACATTACAAAAGTGGCAAGTCTAGGTCACTGGAATCCAGTCATGCCTAGCCTTACAGGTTTCATTACAGCAAACAATTTCTTGAAATTTATTGTGTTGAAATTTCGCTGTGAATGAGTACTCCAGGCCAGCGGTTTCTCTCAGATTAAATCTCCACACAAAGCATTTTTGTTCATGAATATAGCGGATAACAATCAGCCCAAAATTTCGGAAAAAGCAGGTATGGTGAACAGCATAGATGACAGGGTGAAAAGGAAAGAAATAAATCAGTCTTGGCCACGAGACTTGTTCTGTGTCAGTCTAGCACATGTGTTCAGTTTTCTGGTGATGTTTACTGAGCCATTCATTGACTATTAGACCTAACTTTCACCCTTGGAAAGTAAGAATTTCAAAACACTGCGTGGAATTCACCTTTCCCCCGTCAGCGATGTCCATCGATGCTTTCTTGGCAAACAGCTTCTGTATTTCTTTAGTGACCTTCTTGAGAGCATGCCGTGCCTCATCACGAATCTTTCCCACACCATAGAGCAGAATGTGCCTTTGGTTGCAGTCATGAGACCAGAGGCCTCCTTCCTCCTGAGGCAGAGGAAAGTGTGTGGTGTACTGCAGGTGCCGCAGTGGCCAGTTGGGACTCCGCACACCACTCCCTGGAGCCCCACCGACACCTGAGGCTCCACCACCAGGCTGGGAACCCACACCCCCACCCACTGGAGTCTCTGCCATGGGTGTTGTGGGCCCTTGGAGAGAGCCCCCTTCTTCCTTGTCTGAGCCTACAGAATCTGCAGAGGGGAGCAGCCAAACGGAACAGTAAGCATGACAAAATTGGACAATGCAAGCACATGAGAATAGTGAAAGAAAATGCATACCTTTATTAAATTCTACCAGACCACTGCAACTGCTTTCGATTGGGCCCATCAAACAGAACTGAGTATAGTGAAATCTTGATACAGGTAATCTCAAGACACTGCTAAAAATCATTTGTTATTTTGAAAAGTCGTTGTAGTGAAAGTATACAAAATATGAGCAATAATCGTAAATGTAACAACATTAACCGCTACCTGTGTTGCATACACATTCGCAACGTCGTTATGCTCTAATAAGCCCCCCAAAAAAAACAATCACGGTATATTACAGAACCAGTGCACGTTTATTTGAGAAAGAGTGCAATCTATGTTGATGGCAGCTAGACTGCTGAAAGACAAACTCTTAAACGTGCGCATCCTTCTAACGCACTGCGAAGCATCAGAAGCATCGGCATTAAATGCCGATTTTTCACGTTGGTTTGTGCCCGCTGTTTTGACGTCTTCTTTACTCTCATCACCGCTTCCTTATCACGACAAATAGTATAGATCTTATAGGTCATCAGCTAGACTCATGTGCATTGTTAGTCATCACACTATGCGTAATGTACGAGCGTTAGTGAAGCTCTATGCACAGGTAATCATCGGCCACTTCAACCCATACACACGTCGCATTTCTCACTATCATAGCCCCTTTTTCGTGCAGTTCCAGAGCTCATCTCAAACGTTCAATTACCAATCAAGAGGCTAGAAAACATTGATGTACAAGCGCGTAGGTAGAGCTGCCCAACGAAAACAAACATAGTGGGGTTAATAGGGCAAAGCCTGATGTCCATGCCTGACGCAAAAAAATAGGGCTACCGCACATTTTTTAGGGCGAGCACATAAAAAAATATTCAGGCGTTATGATGATGATGACAGTTGTTGGTACGCAGCTGGGCATTATTTTCACAGTCACGAGTAACTTTTTAAAATCGCTATTCAATATTTTGAAGTGTTGTGAAGATTTAGGGGGGATAAAATTCGATACACTATTCTGAAACGTTTGGTATTCTGAAATTTGTAGTAGTGAAATACTTTTACATTAAACTAATGAACATTTGGAGGGGAATTTTTGAAAAAAGTCGTTAATCGGAGGTTTGCTATAACAATATTTGACTGTAGTCATGCTAATGCAGCTATGAATCGTAACAACCTACAAACAATTCTATGGCAGAATTTCCAACACTTGGCATCCCTGTGAGAGGTCACTGACCCAAACAGGCACCTGTCGCAGTTTTGCAAAGTGATAAGCCAAGTGCCATGATGTACTGAGATAGGTCAGTGTTTTGTCTGTGCAGAAAAACAACTAAGGAACCATGCTCACTCTTACAATAACTTCCCTAGTAGGGCATTGCAATCGACCGATGTACCTGGCGCACAAATCTTAAACATGTAAACAGAATTTCTTTAATTTACTGAATAAAATGGTCATATAACGCAATCAAAACTAAGACCATAAGCAAAAAAAAGTCATTAAGATGCATCATTGAGAAAAATCATGCTGCTTTTGCATGTTTGGTGCTCCGATTCTAGACAAATAACAAAAGATGCTCCTCCATTCATTCCATGCATGTGCACTCCTTTTTGGTTGTCAGAGCATCTTGAAATTATGCGGAAACATGCACACATTGATTCAGAAGGACTTTCCCAACACCAGCCAGACTACACGAGCGTTCCTTCAGTGCATCAACCAGAAGAGTGGCCGCCAAGTTTCGCAAAAGAAAAAAATAATATGCAATGATGAATGCTGCTAAATTTGTGCATTTAGCTCCACAGAGCAGTTACTGCTAAAAGTTTCTGACAAAGCCCTAAGTTGATGTTCTAATCGTTCTGCAAAAACAACAATGCATTAAAAGCAATCTTTCACAATTGCTCCGCTTGCCGTGCATACACAAGAAGAGGAAGAAGAAAGTTTATGCGGAAAGACAGGGAGGTTAGCCAGTTCTTAGACCGGCTGGCTACCCTGTGCTGGGGAAAAGGGTGAGGGGAATGAAAGATGTTAAAAAGAAATGTTGCGAAGAGAGGGAGAAATTACAAAAAAAAATTGCGGCAGAGGAAAGGCAACATCAAAGAGTATAAGACACTAAAGTCTGTCTCTGAGGCCAGTTGTCCGCAAAAAGCACAGCAAAGCTTTCAAAGCCTTCTGGGCTGAGGATGGGCTCGGCCAATGACCCAGGATCCTTTGTTCCGACAAAGGCCGATCGTCTAGTCTATCCAGAGCTGCAGTGAGTTCTTGTCTTTGCACATTGAAATGGGTGCACTCACACAGAAGGTGCGCGATGGTTTCTTCGCAACTGCAGTAAGTACATGTAGGAGAGATGGCCATCCCAATGAGGTACAAAAAACACGCACGACTAATGAAGCAGCTGTAGCCACTTATACTAGAGGCCCAGTAGATAAGCCTTCTCAAAATGATTCCATGCTGCAGCAAACATGACACTGCTGAAGTCCGAGGTGCTCAAAGCATTGCAGGTCGTCATCAAAAAAGAATGTTTCCATCTCCGTACGACACACTGCCCTATTTCCCATACGCTATACGCAAACTGTTTTCTTTGTTCATGAGAAGGTACCGACATTTATTTGATAAAATCAAGAAAGAGAACCAAGTCAAGCAGCATGTGAATAAAGATAAGGATACTCATGGTTCTTGTTATCATCACTTCAAATTCAACAGGGTCTCAGACCATGACTTGCTTAAGACTTAAGCCTCTGAGCTAATGATATTAAAATATTATAAGCTGCTACACTGAGACAGCAAGAAATATAAACTTTCAGCAAGAGATAGCACCAGCACTTGCAAGTGCTGCTGAAGATGTAATGTTTTCACTGTTGTTTATGTTCAATTCTACTTTCCTCTCGACATATCTTCCACAACTACACAATACTGTCACATGCAATGAGCGTGAAAATGAACGTTCTAGTAAAATAGATCAGGCAGAATATGTATGAAAATCAAACTGACAACTTACTAGATAAAAAAGACACCCTCCCTCTGCACATTCTGTTGCTGCCAGCCTTCCATAAAAAAGCCAAAAGAAATTTTCTGGCCTGTCAGCAAGCATGCTACATGCTGGCAGAACACAGGACAAGTTATAGTATGTCCAAATTAAACTGACAGCCGTGTCTCCAAATGACAACTGCACACAGTGCAACTAAATTCTCTTAATCAAAAGTAGCAAACCACAATATGACTGTGGTACATCTTTTATCAAAATGATCCAAATTTTAAAAAATATTACCTCACGGACACTTCAACCATAATATTTATCATCTGATATGGTACTCAAGGCGAGCCTTGCTTCACTTACCAGGTTGGTCACTCATGTTCTGCTGGCCTTCTTTGATGCGTTGCAAGATGTTATCCAGGTCAGCGTCCAGTCCCGCATCATCCATGTCCATCTGAACACCCCAGCCAACCTATTCGAAAAATTAGACATTATGCCCACAGTATGAGGCTAAGGCAGCATGGAACCTCCTTTCTCTCTCTCTCTCTCTCTCTCTCTCTCTCTCTTGTTTTCAAATATGAAAGTTTGCCCAACAGCGTACACAATTAAATATATAAATGGAGCCCAATTTCCGGTATATACAGTGAACTCCCTTTAAGACGAACTCTGTCAAGACGAATTCTTGGTTTAGATGAACAACGTGGGTGTGTTTGTTCGTTTTGCACAGACTCAATACAAAAAAAAATCTGCTTTTTGTTCGTTTTCCCACAGACTCAATGCAAAAAAAATCTGTTTAAGATGAACTGTGCAACATGCCTCTTCTGTTAAGACGAACTCTCGCAGCTACCAACAACGATAAAGATTCTGCGCAACGAACAATATAGTCTTGATGGAGGCATTCAGGTGAACTGAGAAAGCAAAATGAAAAAAAAAAAAAAGCAAGATAAGTGCAAAAAGGAATGTCAGCACATAAAGCTGCTATCTCTCTCACCCCTAGCCTAGAGGTCAAACAAGGGCCATGCTACAGTTTTATTGTTAAAATGTAGCAGAAGTTTATTCATGAGCATATTTATTATTAAATTGTGAGATCGAGTACTCACTAAATTAGCCTAAATACTCCACTTGAAAGCGTAGTTTTTATCAAGGTGAGCCAAATAAATGCTTTTTCTTGTTCCTTTCCTCTTATTGTAGGTATACTTTATTCTGTGTTCTTAAGCAACATATTTAGGTGTACTTGGCATGTTAGCATTTGGTTTTTGGGGGTACTTCTGATAAAATGAAGCCCTGATAAGCAAACAAATGATCGAGGTCTTTTGGGGTTCGTCTTAAAAGGAGTCTACTGTACATCAACCATACTCTATGATTTGGCCCACAGAGCCACGAATCATAGTCCAATGCTTTTGTCGGATGAACGCCCACTGTTTTCAACATAAATTATTACGCCACTTGGCGCTATCGTAAAGCTAGAACCACGTATGGCGGCTTGTTGGGTTTAATCAGGTTGAAAATGCTTTTACACATGTAATTCCTCCAGAAAGAGAATACATATGCCAAACATTTATTTAAAGTTGTCTTTTCATACTTGCCAACTTAGGGACAATTGGAGAGCACTAAGAAAATGCTGTTGATCAGAAGTGATAGGCCAATAGTGATTCAGTGCTATACTGCAATAATCGATAGCGACTATACAGAAGTGGCTCACACAGCGGAAGATTAAAGGCAATTCGTGAAAAAGCCCGAAGCTTTCCAGCTTTACTGTCATTCCTTTATGGCTATGGTGGTACAAATTTGGCACTTAGTTTACAGTTGGCCTGCAGGGAAGCAATGATGCAAGTGTTCACAGGGTTCTGCACTCAGAATGCTTCGAGATTCGTCTGAATGGGTTATTACGTCCTTGGCCAAATATGTCCACTTAGCTCGAGCTCCATGCAAAGAACAATGCCTCCACTTTCCAAGAACGGTGGATGAATTATAATTACCAGAATTTCCTAAATTTTGTGCGCTATACATGAAATTTTGCTTCAATGATATTCCATGACAATGAATGCTCTCGCGAATTTTGTCAGTTTTTTTGCTATGAGATTTGCATGTACTCGTCATGACCGAGTGTAATGACAAGGAGCGGCAAAGGAGCTTGGGCCCTTGTGCTCTGACAGCGCGAGAAAGGGAAAGACGTTGGAATAGAGCAGCCGGCCTAGCAAATGGACGTTGCGTCTATTTCTTCTTACAATTGACCGAAATATTTGAATATCTCAGTAAAGAGTAGGAAGTGTTGCCAAGAAGATTGCCATACCAAATACTGCTTGCTGTGCAAAAGTATTGGCAAAAAAACCAAACTAATCACAAAAGATATATTGAGTACCACATTTGAGATATACCGCATTTAGTAGCATACTGTAATTCCCGTACTTATTTTTGCGGAAAACCGATGAAAAGTTGGGGGAGGGGGGGGGGTGCGAGAAATATGTGAGGAGAATTTTCCGCAAAAACGTACAGAGCAAAAAAGAAAACAAAGTAGTCCCAAATCGCAATTCTCACACTAGCAACTAGCCAGCAACAAACTACGAGCTTGGACACGTACTACTAGACTTAATTTAACAACAAAACCCCAGGTTCAACACAAGCCAAGATTTGAGTCACAAAAGCTGCAAACAAAATAGTAGAGAAGTACCGTACGCAAAGCTTGCGGGTGTTGCGGGCATAGCGTTAGCGTTCGTCGCTGAACGGGAGCTTGTGGAAGGTTAGCGTGCAACGTCAACCTTCGGCTGATGGCCATCTAACACAAAATCGTCCACAGTTACCTTCTGACGAAATAAAGTTTTACCATCAATCCCAGTCATAGGCACACTGAAATCCCTGTGCGTCATCGTGGCTTTCAGCTGCCCGTGCTGCGGTCGCCAGTAGCAAACACAAAACTTGTCAACTCGAAAGTGCCATTGGCCCTGTTGCCATTGTTTAGTGCATGATCAATCATTTTCAACAAGAGCTTTCGTATAGTCCCATAGCGTAACCACAGAAGGGACACAACGTACACTAACAGGCCGCAACACACACTGGCCGCTTTGGCTTGGCTTGGCTTGAATTGAGGCTCCGTGCGTTTATAGTATGCATAATACTTAAGGGGAGATGCGGGTCGAAAAACGCGAGTTTTTTTCAAAATTACCGATTTTTTATTTTCGCCTGTTTTGATAAGATTAGTACCTGTACTGTTATGAAAAAAATAATACAGGTCGAGACTTAACTGGAAATGCTTTAAAATTGCATCTAAAGAGCACAAGGTGCCTGTTGAAAGGTCGAAAGTGTGGAGTCTTCGAGCACCTTGCCGCCAATAATGCGCCGCCGCTCGCCATTGTTGATCGCATGAGTCGAGAAGAGTCGAGCCTCACTCTTCAAATAACATTAACAACAGTTTCTCTCGCTGACGCAGCGCAAGAAATAATAAAAAGAAGCACTCTTCCGCGCATTTTTCGAGCGCCGCGACTGGCTTATCACATGGTACGAATCGGGGGCCGCCATTGGCCGCTGCGCGCCTGTATGTGCTGTGAAGCCTATTTGCGGGGTCCATGTCTTGTCGAGCAGCGCAGCTGAACAATGCCTTTCTCGTGTAATTATCTCTGTTATGAATGAAAAAAGGCATTACTCGCAAGTGAAAGCGGTTGTGCGGCGTGCTCTGTAGGAATAGGCTACGAGCATCTGGTCAGATTTGCAGCAGTTAATATGTTGGCTTGCAAAAGCCAATGCGTCAAAATTTATTCACACCCGTCGGACGGAAAGTTTGTGATGCGGCAATGGATGACATCAGCGCCAATCTTGCAAGGTCGAAAGAGCTCGGAGTGAGAGAACTTAGCAGGGACGACATCGCCATTATGTACGACGGTATGTGGCACAAACATGGCTGCAAAATGGCACGACACTGGACTTAGTTTAGATTTCGCACTTCTGTCGAACTTCTTCCTAGCTTGCGGTTGGCACAAGGCTCTACTAGATGGAGCGGATGTTTGGCAGGTGTTTCATGGCCCTGTCTGTGAGCGAAATGTCTGTGAGGAGTCGGCTCGAAAAAGCCGAGAGGGACAAACTCATGGTGCTGGCGTATTTTAGTCGCAGTGGCCACTACTGGAAGGATTGTTCTTTTTGGTGTGCAAATTTCATTTGATTAAATGATATCTTTCATAAATAAAAACTGAATTTTAACTTTAAAACTCTTTTTTTTTTTTTTCAAAACACAAATTTTGCCATTTTTTCCAATGTGCCCCTCCTTTTTCGGGCACTTTTAGTGCTCGGATCTGCATGAAATTTCGCCCAAATTTTTTTCAAAGTATGACAAATGCAATTATTTAGTTTAAATTTCAATATTTTATTGAACAATAAAAAATTGTATGTATACCTTTACTAGAGTAGGTGAAATATAAACTTTTTACCTTTATTATTTTACACGTGTATTACATATTATGTATGTGCTTCCTAATTAGTTATTTGCACTCTACACTTTATTTGAGGTATTATCAACTATGAATGATAAAACATTACAGAAGTTTAGGGATGAAAAGAGGGGGGGGAAAGGGTTAAGGTTTTCACTTTGTCATGTTGCAGAGCTAAAAGTGTGTAACTTGCAAGAAAACTAATTATATATTTGAAATCAGCATAAAAGGTTCCATAAACAGCTCAAGTTTCATTGCTCTAGAGTAAATAATAAAAAAAAGTGTCTTCTAGTAGCATCTCGCCTTAAGAGATGACACCAGGCTGTCGTGCACTGCCATCATTAGTGGTTGGAGGGAGCTGACGACATAACGACTGCAATATTCAGCGGTGCCATAATAACTCGCGGAAAAAAAATCGTATTTTTGCTGCGCAATGCGGGGGGTGCGAGAATTATGCAAGTGGGAGGATTACGCGAGTAAATGCAATATGCAAGTACCCACCTCATGTTTCACTGCACCCGGCTCGAACATATGCAGTGAGTCAGCCTGACGAGAAGGCTCCCCTAAATTTCCAATGCCCAGTTCGCCCAGTCCTAGACCCATGGACATGCCACCAGAGTTTCCAGGATTGCTGGCACTTCCATGACTAGGTGAAGGGCCGAGGTTGGGATCAAGGAAACCTGTGAGTGACGGTTCAGGTGACGGAGCACGTGGGGCACCACCAATGCCGCCTGCTCCCGTTCCCATGACACTTGGCAGACCGGCACCCCCAGGTGGGTAACTGGCAAAGTAGCCCCGCGAGATCAGGGTGCACATGTAGGCATCGTGGGAGAACACATCACAGTGGATCAGCTCGGCAAACAGCAGCACAAGGTTGGCAAAAGCTGTACGGTTCTCGGGGGATGGCTTGTCATCTGAATGAAAAAAAAAAATCATTTATTCTTCTCAGTGAAGGTGGGTGACCAGCAAAACTGCTGTGGCGTTTGATAAAGACTTTACTGCCCTATTTAGAAATCATAAAATATGTTGTTACACTCGCGTTACGCTTGTGTGATATGTGAATTTTAGGTTACAAGTGAGTTTAAAGAGAATAATGATCTTGGTCGAATAATTTTGTTATAATCATTTTGGTCAAATAATTTCGAATCGAATTCGAATAGCACGTAAGTTGCATATTATTAAGAAAAATGGATACATTTGTCATGACCTAACTAACCCTCACAATATCTTTCAAAAGAGTGGAACAAGGCCTGAGCAAATGCCTTTCTTTAGGGTTCTAAGAAAGTGGAAACAACTTTGAATAGTAGCAGGATTTGAGTTTCGATAGGATGCAAGCAATAACTTGTAAAACATGTTACATTTTAAAATTCGCTATACATAAAGCATATAAGTCAATATAAAACGAGATTTTAAACTTCAAAAATAAATCAATGTGAGAGCAATATTTTCATTTAACCTTGAAGTGGGACCTTGCGCTGCAATGCGGGCTTCCCCCAAGTACGTCTTTTCACAGCTTAGCACCCATCAATTGCAGTGAAACAACCTTTACAAAGGGGTTACATAGGGACTAATTTACATCCATTTCTTGGTTTCGAATACTTTGAAATATTTATTTATTAATTCAAATTCGATTCAAAGTGAATTTTAATATTGTATAATTCATTCAAACATTTCAAACGTTCAAATATTCACACAACTCTATCATTTTGAGTAATTATGTGATTACATTGTATACTGTTTGTACAAATACAGAGAGATACACAATTCACTCTTCTTTGGCCGTCCGGTTCGCACATCCATGACCTCCCTCACACTGTTGCTCTCTCTGTCACTCCTCATAGATATGCTACCCTTCATGCATATGAACTAAGCGAGGCCTCCCTATAGAAACAGTGAAGTGAAATCGTATCCAATATTTCCCTTGTTTACCTTATCAGGTGCATGCTATGTTGCGCACTATGTCATACATTCACAGAGAGCATCTTAGACACAGCTGGTTGTTAACCTGAGCTAGGTCACATGTGGCAATGAGTGTTTGCTTTTGTTGCAGGCTCTTTCACTCCCACGTTTAAGGGGAGAGTTTTTTCATGTGGACACCATAAAATATCAATTCTTAGACATGGACAGCTTCACTGTAAAAAAAAATGCCTCTTCCAAGTTATATTTACCGATTGTCTAATGACTATGCAAAGAGGACCTTCGCTTCATGACAGTATATATTGTAACGATGTTGAAGGACTCGGGGGTGTAATAAAATGTATTTATTAAAGAGCAAACCTGTGCGCACAACTCAAAGAGACTATGGTCGTAGAACGTGACGGCCGAACACCAAAGATGTCCGCCTTCTTCTTCCTCTCCAAGAGAAGTCCCGAGCGCGTGGCGCACATCAGCCGGGTCCAGCTGGGTGCTCATGCTATCATCGTCGTCTCTGCGCAACACTACACGGCGCGCATGTATGTCCCTGTGCGCACACAATGATGGGCGCCTTGTTTGAATGCAGGCAAGATGTCGTGGCATAATCCCCCTCCTCATACGCATCTTCCCGATGCGTCAGGCAATGAATAGATTCGTGGTAGGCATCACTGGTTTTCCGATGATCTTTCATAGCAAGGTTTCGTCCAGACTACATGTACAACCTCTGTAGGTTGGCAGCGTTTTGAGCTCCTGTGCATAGCGGATCTGACTTGGTACGTTACATCGCTTACACGATGGAGTACTTCGTAAGGCCCGAAGTATCGGCTAAGAAGTTTTTCAAAAAGTCCACGGCGACGCACTGGGGTCTATATCCATACTTTGTCACCTGGTTAATAATGCGCTTCGGTACGACGCTGATTGTACCGGTAGGAGTCGATACTCTGTTGGCGGAGTGTTGTGTATTTCGCCACCTGTCATGCTTCCTCGGCTCTTTCCAAGAAGTCGTCTAGGTCAGGTGGATTGCTGCTTTCATCATTCAGTGGTAACATGGCACCCAGTGGAGTGGTGACTGTTCGGCTGAATACAAGTTCAAACGGTGTCACTCGCATTGTTTCTTGAAGGACTGTACTATATGCGAAAGTGATATAGGGCAATAACGTATTTACTCGCATAATCCTCGCACTTTTTTTGCCAGAATACTGATGCAAAGCTGGGGGGTGCGAGAATTATGCGGGGAAAACTTTCCACGAAAATGCAGAGAGCAAAAAAGAAAACGAAGTGGCCACAAATTGGGATTCTCATGCCAGCAACTTACAGCAAGCTTTAAGAAGTACTAATTAGAACTTACCTCAACAATAAAAGCAGAGGTTCAACACAAGGCAAAATTTATTTGAGACACAAAAAGTGAAAGCAAATAGTCGAGAATTAGAATACCATACGTGAAGCTTGTGGGCGTTGCGGGCGTAGCGGTAGCAGTCGGCGCTCAACAGGAGCCCTAAAAAGGTAAGCGTAGGACGTCAGTATTGGCCTGATGGCTATTTAACAGAATCGTCCGCAGTTTTCTTCTGAAGAAATAAAGTTTACCATCAATCCCAGTTTTAGGCACACAGCAGGCCCAACGTGTCTTGGTGGCTTTCAGCTGCCGTCACTATTAGCGAACACAAAACTCGTAGGCTCCGAAGGCCCTAACGGCGGCCCTGTTGCCGTTGTTTAGCGCATGATCTATCACTTGCAACTTGAAGCAGCCGTGTGGCTTCAGTATCACCCTATAACGTGCCAAGATTACCGACACAACATACAAAACACGCGCAGCGCGCACTGGCCACTTGGGTTCGGCTTGGATTGAATCGAATCTCCGTGCAATAGTACGCTTGATGCTTAAGAGATGGCGCCAGATAATGCACGCTATCATCATCAGTGGCTGGAACGAGCAGACGACTTTATTGCGGGAGTTCTCAGGGGTGCGATAATTGCTCGAGAGAAAAAAATCGTATTTTTCTTGGGCGATGTAGGGGGTGCGAGAATTATGCGAGTGCGAGGATTACGCGAGTAAATACGGTATTTCATCCCAAAGTTTATGTTCGACTTCGACATACATTGAAAGCATATCAGTCAGAGTTCTGTTCAGGCGCTCCGTTAGGCCATTTGTTTGAGGATGGTATGCCGTAGTTGTTCTCTGGTCTGTATAGGTCATTCGCATCAGACATTTCATTAGGTCTGCAGTAAAAGCTGTGCCACGATCTGTAATTACGAAGCTGGGTGCACCATGTCTGAGGACTATGTTGATGATGAAGAACTTGGCAACTTCAAGAGCTGTTGCACTGTACAGCGAGTCAGTCTCAGCGTAAAGAGTGAGATAGTCCGTGGCTACGACTATCTACTTTTTGCGTGCAGTCGATGTCGGAAACGGGCTTAGGAGTTCCATACCGACTTGTTGGAATGGGGCATCTGGCGGTTCTATTGGCTGGAGGAGGCCTGCAGGTTTCACGGATGGAGTTGTGCGTCTTTGACACTTACGGCAAGTTTTAACATAGTGCTGAACTGATGCTAAGAGTTTTGGCCTGTAGTATTTTAGATGAATTCTGGCGAATGTATGGCTGACACCCATATGTCCAGATGTTGGCTCATCATGACATGCATGCAGAATCTCGTTTCGTAAACGTTCAGGTACGAGTAAAAACATGCCACCATAAGGCTCGAAGTTCCTCCTGTAAAGGACCTCTTCTCGAAGACAGAACGAAGGGAGCCCTCTGGATAAAGTGCACGGGATTTCAACGTCGAGTCCTTGGAGATGCTGTATAAGCGGCAGCAAATCGGGGTCATTTCGTTGTTATTGAGCGATTTCTGATGCCTGGACGACGCCTAGAAACGGGAAGTCTTCTTCCTCTGGCTCTCTTGTCTCCACTGCTGCGCGTGAAAGGCAGCCGGCATCGCTGTGCTTTTTCCCAGATTCGTACTCCACAGTAATATCGTACTCTTGTAGCCTAAGGCTTCATCTTGCTAGTCGGCCAAAGGGATCCTTGAATTCACCAGCCAACACAGGCAATGGTGGTCACTGACTGCTCGGAATGGCTTACCGTAGAGGTACGGCCGAAATTTACTTATGGCCCAGATGACCGCGAGACACTCTTTTTTGGTTGCAGAGTAATTTGTCTCAGCTTTTGAAAGCTTGGGGCTGGCGTTCGCTAGCACTTTTTCTTGGCTTTTTCTTGTTTGAATGCAGGCAAGATGCCGCGGCAATATGTATATCTCACGAACTTGCACGTGAAAACACCATTGCCTGAGGCAGATTAGACTGTGGTAAAGTACACAAGAGACTGAAATTTCAATGTGGTTGGCTCACCCACAGCTTTGACCAATCGAATGAAAAGTATCAGCATTAAATTATTCACTAGACCAAGGTTACAAGCCACTTGCGCTTCAACGCAAATGTACTGAGCCAGGTCACTTTAGTGAGCAAAATAAAAATGTGTGCCTCTCATTTAAGCTTGCCTTTACTGTGCATGTTTTAATATGAATAGTCCCAGTTGAGTACTCCACCGTGTTGTGCTTTTCGCAGACGTCTCTACTAGAGCACTGAAACTAACTGCATTTACCGTGTTGTTGTGATTTCTTTATTGTCGTGCTTAGTTCGCATCTGAATTATGCAAAGCTGTCATAATCCGAAATAAACTTAGTTTCCATTCGCAGGTGAACCACTCTCAAGCACTTATCCCACAGCATTGTTGAAATCAGCCTGGCGAAGATGGCTGAATCACTCGCCACGACGCTTCGCTGCAACCTCCAGTGTACCGCTACATTGACCTCAAATAACATTCGGCAAGGAACAAAATTTAACCGTTTTTGCGTTCTCAGGCTAGTCACCCTTCCATTTTGTGCGATGGCTGCACACAAATAAAGAACAATCAAATGTGATAACGAAGGGTGGGCGCAAAAAACGGCTTCACTTCAGTATCACTCAGAGCCACACACAGGTGTTCATGACCCTAGGCATGGTGGCCGGAAGTAGTGCCTTCTCCGCATTGCCCGCATGCTGTGCTTTTGGAAAAAAAGACATTATAAGCAAGGTAGTCAATGTAAGGAGCAAGGTGCGTACCAAGGACAGGGGCTTCCATGTCAAGGAAATTGACGAGCAGGCTCTGAAATATAGGTAAACCAGTGGGTGCCATCCCAGAGTCCTGAGAATCCTTCTCGTCCACCAGGTCGGCATCATTGTACTTCTGAAAAAGTGAATCAGTTACTTAAAAACAAGCACCAACATATACACTTAATGCACGCAACAGGCTATACCAGTGCTTGTCTTTTAAATCACGCATTGTCTTCTGTTTTATGAAAAGTAAACACGGAAATGTACAACAGAAGAAATTTGCAAGAAAGCTCTTTTAGCTCTATTTGATGGAGACAGAAGAGCTGTTAGCGGCAGAGAATTATAATGTTATGAAAGAAAATGGAACATTTTTACTATGTCTGCACATGAAATTCTAAATTGATTAAGTTTACTTTTCTCTCTCGCCTTTTCTATGAAGATACTACATACATATACATAGCTTATTGGGGGGGAGGGGGTGAACAATAAGGACAGGAATATGCAGATTATGTCCTCAATATTTATTGTCGCACAATGCCTACCACATTGTTTCGCATCTTAATATAGTATGAGCAGGAAAGGGTTATCTCCCAGTGGCATACATCACAAGCACTTCTGCAAATGGGAGAGGTCAAGCTGGGATTTTGATGTTGAAGTTAATGTAAAGCTCAGATATAGCTCATGAATGTTCAAAAAGCCACAAGTTCCGTTCAAATTGGTTAACAACATCCATTTCCTAGTAGCGCACAGAGTTTACTCCAGATAATTGTGATATGCTGATTAACATTGCAATTGATTGATATGTGGGGTTTAATGTCTAAAAATCACCATATGACTATGAGAGATGCTGTAGTGGAGAACTCCAGAAATTTCTACCGCCCGGAGTTTTTTAACGTACAGCCAAATTTGAGCACAGGTGCATACAGCATTTTCGCCCCCATCAAAAATGCAGCTGCCCCAGCCGGGATTCGATCCCACAATCTGCAGATCAGCAGCCGAGTACCTTAGTCACCAGACCACCGCGGCGGGGCCTGATTAACATTGTAAATTTTTCTGTTTATAAAAAAGTCTTGCTCCAACAAGGGAGATGGAATGTTCAATCTACAAATGTCGGTGCATGCTTGAAATTAGCACACACATATACATAACAAGTTTCATCAAAATTGATCAAGAATTTTTTAAATATTTTAAGTGACAGTGTCCCCATTAAACTTATTATACTACATACACAGTTTGTACACAAGAGAGAACTTTGGCTCAAGTGTCTATGAGAGCTGCAATGTACGTTGTTTCGGCCAGTATGGGAATTATGGGCAGTGCACGGATTTGCCTAATCATCGTTCTTTTTTTGGCTCCGTTTGGCTCCGTGTGGTCTGAAACTGCTTTGCCGCAAGACTAAGTTCAGCAAAGGTTTAGCAATTATGTTTCACCACCGTGACCTTTTTATTTAGGTTCACCAATTCAAATTAGCTCACAAGGGTCAAAACAGTCTGTTATTTTATTTGAAACAAAAACCAAAACACAGCAATAAACAAAGCCAAAAGTGTGTTTGAAGCCCCCAAGCACGGAGACTAGGCAAGTCTATATACTACCCATCATTCTCATGGTGGATGAACGATCGCAGCACCAGAGTTCCCTCTAAATTTTTTTTTAAACTTCATGATACTACTTTTGTCAATTTATGCTTTCTTCAATTTATGCTTTCTAATGGCAATCAAACCACTATTAATTTTCCTTAAGTCTTGATACGTGTCAGCGATGTAAACAATTACAAAGTTCAAACTGCACACCCTCGCAATGTATAAACAGCCCTTGTTAGGGTGCATCTGTCACCAATGAGAACAACCTGTTCTGTAACATGAAGACTAAAAATGTGTTCACAAAGTGCACATATAATGCTGGTGAAAGAGGAGACATAGTGTAGCACAACTGCCCCCGCTCACTTTTTGTTTGGTTACTGCACAAGTTTTCCAAACAGATTTCGTCTATGGTGCCATACAGCCCATCATGCCACTGATACCACAAAGGCACTAGTAATTAAAAAATACTACTATGCACATTCTGTTTTCCATGAGACACTCAGGAAAAACAATATGGCTCAACCAAGCGTATGGCCTGGGTACCTATGGCCCCCAAGTATCAGCCACAGCCAACCACAACTAACTCTCCCACCCTCCCATTTCAGCCAACTATGTCCCTGACGGTGAGTAAAAACAAGAGAGAGCACAAACCTCTATGTTGAGCTCGTTCTGACGCTTCTCAAGTAGACGTGCCACGACCAGGGCCCTGTGTTCGCCACTACGTTTAGTTGTGACGGCCCACTCGCACAAAAGTCGCACAATGGGCTCATCCTGCAAAGGAGGTGTGGACACCTGGGGCCCCAACACTTCTGCATTGCTCCCAGACCCTCCTGACCCCACCCCATGGCCAGGACTTGCACCAGGTGTAGAGGCCGCAGGCGGGGGCTGGTCACCACTTTTGGCAAACACTTTGGAGTAAAGTGTGTCCAAGGAATTGGTGGCATCTACTCGGTCAAAGCTATGCCTGTCCAAGGCATCTAGGACGCCCAGCACCCGTGTAATGGTTGTGCCTGCATCATGGCAATGTGTGATGCATGTCTGAGAACACCGCAAGCCAAATATGTGGCCAGCAGATCTTCACTTATGGGAGCGCATAATGCTGAAATAAAGAGCGGTGCCTTGGCATTAATCAATCAATTGATCAATCAAGCAACAGAACTTTTGACTTCTGTGTCTAAAGGGTATAATGCCGGATGTTTCAAGGAACGTGTCCAAAAATCCTCAAATTAAAGAAACTACAATACTGAATAGGGCTGCCCTATCTTATACAATCCTTTAAGTCAAGCAAGACCATGAAATTATATGTCTAGAGACCATTCATCCACAACAGAAAAATAGACATGCATCATGCTGCCAAACGACAAAAGACCCTTTTCATGACTATAAAGTTGGCTTTCCTGCAATGTAGTTGGCCACAACTAATGGCACCTAGTCACACCTACAAAAAGCATGTTCAAGCACAGTTTGATTTCACTACAAAACAGAAAATGTAGACTCGGACCTCTTGATATAACCACGCTAAGACAAGCCCCAGCAGTTGTAACTCAAACCTGATCCCTACTTGAAGGATGACAGGTGTCACCATTCGTCAAGCAAATATGCAGCAAAGGTAAGAACTCCTGCAGATTATAAAAAGGGTCAATAATCAATAAATAAATGCTCAATGAAACAGAAGTTCGAATAGACATGGTGGTGTGCTGTTCCGATCCATCTAAAATTTTTTTTTATTTTATCTTAGACGATATACGAGTTCTTAGAGCGTGTAGGTGGAAAGTAGATCAAGTGACCAAGGAAGCAGCCAGTGCACCGTCTTCTTAGAATACATTATAGCCGAAGGATTCTGCGCAGAAGAACCGCTCAGGTACAGTGCGTATTAAACGATGCAGCAAACACTCACCAGCGGCCATTTGCTGCCACTTGTCACATGACCAGTGCATCTCGGCTGCCCGCCCTCGCTGAATCACCTGCTGCTCCACTCGACGTAGCTCTTGCCGCACTTGCTGCTGATCTGCGATCTTAAAAGGAGACTGAAGAGAAATGCTCACATCAGTTTATGTACAAGTTAGTATTCATTTTAATGTATATTAGTTAACCATTTTGCACAATTTACTTAAAAATTAATGCATCATAAACATATGTACACCTTATATAGAAGTATTCTTCAGAGCTGTGTGAATAGCAAATATTTGGGTGCAAAGCAAATTCAAACATTAAAGTGTGAGTGCTAATCAAGAAGGACATTTTGAAATATTTTAAGAATATTTTTCATATTCTTCGAGACAAAATTGCAGAAAAAGAAGCTGGGCGGATTCCTAAGCATATTCTTACAAGATTCTTAAGCATATTCTTACATGAAGGTAATTATTTTGGCTATGTTGATGAAGTGCTGGCGGGGTAGTGTTTCACATTTGTCTTGCAAAGGATGAGGCAATGCAGAAGTTAAATTGTACTTAATTGTACTTATGTACATGATTTGGTACAACCAAAGTGTTACCGACCACACTTTACACGCGGAAGGCAAAGATGCTATGTCGTCAGCCTCTCCCACACTTTCATCTTCTACGGAACAATCTGTGTGGCGGAACATGTGCAATAGTTTCGCTTACGTCGATTACCACTACTTGTTGCACACCCAGCACACCCACCACAATGATGACTGTGTCGGCAGAGTGTAAGATCATAAATGCAGTTGTCTACTTCATGGCTCAAAAATGTTTTTTCGTTGTTTCTATTGCTTTTAAAGTTAATTTTTTGTACTGCTCCGTATGTGAGCATTTTTTTGTGACGCCATCTATTGGAGACCATTCGTCGCATTAAAGGCCCAATTTCAATAGTACAAGGAAATAAACTGCAGATTTGACCGAATCTATATCTGACAAAACATACATGTGACTGAAAATTAAACAGATACTGAAGGAAACATTTTGTGGGCTCCCATCAGAAGTTCTCAAACTAAGTTCTAAAGAACCCAGGACTTCTGCAAATGGTACATCGGGGTTCCACAAGCGATCACTATGAATCGGACAGCTTCCCGTTTTTCTCCATTAACTTCAACTTAAAGAAAAAATTACATTGCATCTCAAGTTTCCCAAAACCAGCATGCACCACATTCACACCTCAGTAGTGTGGGCAACAACACATGGCACAGTCATGTAAGACCCATCACATACAACTTGCAGCTTGTGATAATTTGGCAGGCAAGTAACACAAGAGAATATGAAGGGTAAACCTTTCTTTGTCATTATAGTCACAAGATTTTTCACTTTCTGAATACCACATTGACCCCACAAATTTAAATCTGTTTGTCAAGCTTGGGCTATTGCAGCTATGTATATATTTTTGAAACTCTCCCATGCTTAGTCGGACTTTCATAGAAAATGTAGTTAATTTTTGGCGATTTACAATTAGCTACTGAAGGACATGACACCACGAGCACTCATGGTAGACTGTCCTCGCTTCTTGGTCCATGTTTATTTGCACCATAATTGGTGCAAATAAACATGGACCAAGCCAAACATGGACCATAAGCCTCTCATGAACTGTTGCTTTATTAGAGATACAGAATGGGTAAAAAGGATGCAGCATATTGCAAAGCTTCAGCTTACAATATGTCACTGTCATTGTCACTTCAGCCTATTTTCTGACCACACCCTCCCAATGATCTCTATTTAACCATAGTTTCGTATACATACACTAGAGGAAACTCTGGCACTAGTGTCATGGGAGCTTCAACGCATGGCGCATCAGCGAGCATGGAAATCATGGGTAATACACGGATTTGCCTAGTCTTCATGCTTTACGTTCCTCTTAGCTTCGCGTGCCTTGAAGCTGCTTTGTAACAAAACAACAATCAGCGAATGTTCAGCCGTCTTCACCATCTTAATTTTTTTAGGCTTACCATTTTCAATCAGGTTACGAAGTTCAAAAGTATTCATTCTTTCCTTCAAAAGAAAATTGAAACACAGCAATAAACGAAGTCACAAGTGCGATTCGCCGCCAGCAAGTATGATGACTAGGCACAACCGTGTACTACTCATCATTTCCATGGTGACCGAACGATCGCAGCGCCAGAGTTCCCTCCAGTTAATTTTAGGAAACTATGCATTTAAGCCCATCTTGTGCAAGTCGGTTTCATTTTCCTGCCATTCTTGGTTATGCTTGCCATCTCTCAATATCCATTCCACCACTCTAAATGACCATCAGTTATCTGTCCCTCACATTACGTAAACTGCTCATGTCAGTTACCTCTATTGGTTCTTTAATTCACTCTGCTCTCTTCCTGTCTCTCAATGTTGTGCCTATTGTTTGAGCTGATAGCACAACGAGCTAAGCTCAACACCACCAGAGCAGACAAGTTGACACCAACACAAGAGGCACGTTTCACCAGACCTCATTTTACATCTTCTCAGCCAGAGGCATTTTCTCGTGATCAGTAAATACACACATCACGCAACCAGATCTCAAGTACCTATCAGAATGAAACATACCTGGCCACCAAGAGACTTCGGCGGCATGGGCAGACACGATGGTGGGCATGGTAGCAAGTCCAAGGGACTGCCGTTCAGAACGGGATTTCCCTTGCCTTCACCAATGCTGTTCCACACAAGAGCGGTAGGGCACTTCAGTGTGATGTACTGAATAGAAATTTCGAAAGGAACGCAAAGTTGCACTTTTTTCAATAAGCTACACAAATATTTACAGCACCAAAACGGGAAAAAAGAAGCAGTGCTAACCTGCACAACTACCGATAACTGGAGAACAATAGAACGATGATGAGGACAGCTGAGGCATTCTGCAAAGCTTGCTGCCAGAGGACTGATGGAGGGAGGATTTGGCACTGGAGACACTGTGTTTCTAGGAAGGAAGCAATCGACATTCTAATGTTAGGGTTATTTAGCAGTACTGATTTAGTTGATCTATACGGACGTCAAATGTGATAGATAGTTTGAAAAGTGAAGAAGAAACAGAGGTCCCCACATAAGCGCTTCTTGAAGTACACGTATCGGTATTACCAAGGCAGCCTCGATTTACTCACCCGCCATTCGTTGTAACTGAGTTGACAGTTGTGACTGGACTCTGGCTCCTCGAAGAGCTGACTGTGTAGTCCACAACCAGCTGGCTTAGCTTCTTGGAACAGTGATAAGCCAGACGCCGTGACAGCAGCTCAGAGCGAGAAAACTCACCAACATACTGTGAACGGAAAAGGGAGAAACAAAACGATGATGCCGTTTAAGGATGGAAAAAAAAATGCTTCAATTATGATAGTCCCCAACACGAAATTTTAGTGCACCTGCACACGTGTTTTATTTCACAATACTCTGGATGGCCCAGACAACGTCACGTGCAGCATGTTGCAAATGGAGACACATGCAGCGCCACTGCCTCAAAACTCTAGAGCACACAACAGCTGTGACTCGCAACAGCCGCAGCTGAAAGACCTCCTAGTAGACATGCACTAATCTGGTGTCATTTCATAGCTTTGTGCAGCACTCTGGTTTCCTCCTCACCCTTTCACAGTCCTTCCTGCATTCCACGCTCATAGTGTTGTGTGACATTTCTACCTCTCAAAACTCCATGCTCACTTTCATCTCTCGCCGTGTTAGTACTTTTGTATATGACAAGTGAGGCACTCCAGCCATCAAGGCAAGAACAGGCACCAAGGAGTTCCACTTTAAAAAATTTGCTGAATAGAACCCACTTGTTCAGCAGTGGGTCTTCAGTGCTGGTACAATTATAAGACCACAGTGCACCATCAACTATAATATAGTAAAATATTTGTAAATACACTGTGAGGAATGAGAGGGAGTGCCACGGGGTCGGGTATAGTTGACGGTCGAGGAACGAGGTGGCGGGCGAGTGGGGTTGTGTAGGGATCTCTGAGGCTGTGTATAGCTGACGGTCGAGGAACGATGTGGCGTGCGAGTGTCACGTGAACAGTGAAGGGGCGCCTGGGAAGGAGGGAAGCGGGACATGGGTAGTCGGGATGTGGCACAGGGAATAAATGGTTGTGTGAGCACGGTTGCCTGTTGTCAAGTGTATCGTCGTACGTGAAAAGTGGGGGCTCGTCCGGGATCGACATGGCAACCGGAATGGACAGCATGAATGTGCCGAAAGAGCTGCTGCAGCAGTTGCTTGGACAAACAAAAAGCTCCGCCATACAACGCGAGCAAATCGCGACTGCCATCAGACAAAGGCTTATGACAGCGGAGCCCATGCCTGCAGGCGCCATGACAGCAGCGGCGGCGGCGATCCAGCTGGTGATTTACTGTGCTCTCCAGGCTTCGGGAAGTCAGCTCGCCCAGCCCCGGTTCGCTGGATTCGGCGACACCCAATCACCCGAAGAATTCCTGGACCACCTCGAGGCCTTCTGTATGGTGATTGGTGTCGCCGCCGACAAAAGGCTTACGCATATCGTGCCTGCTGCACTCGAGGGGGGCACGGCATTGTAACTGCGCTTCGTCAAATCGTTCGCGTTCTGGGAGGACTTCAAGGCAGCGTTCGTTGCAGCATTTTCGTCTATTGATGCGAAGCGGCGCCTGAGGCAGGAGCAGGATAATCCACGACCCAGCACGATTAAACGATTGCAGACTTTCCGGGGACTTGCTGATTATTACCACAGCTTCATACCGCATTTCTCACTGACGGCACATCCACTCACTGTCCTTCTGAAGAAAAGCGAGCCATGGCAATGGGATGAGCGTAAGGAGGAAGCCTTCGCTGTGCTTAAGCAGTCCTTGGCTCACAATGCAATTATGAGCCTTCCGGATCTAAATCGACCCTTCGTGGTTGATACGTATGCAAGCAGCATTGGCATTGCAGCTGTCCTACTGCAGGCTGGCCCCGACAGACTGCAGCCCGTTTCCTTCATTAGCAGGGTTCTCGCAGAACCCGAAAGCCACTATACTGTTTAGGAATGGGAATGCCTTGCAGTGGTGTGGGCTGTGGACAAGTTGTGGGCGTATATTGAATTTACAAACTTTGAGATACACTGCAACCACTCGTCCTTGTTGTGGATGTTCAGCACCGACCAAGCTTCGTCCAAGGTCAAACGCTGGGTCCTCCGGTTGCAGGGTTTCAATTGCTGTGTCAGGCACAGACGGGGGCTGGCAAATATACCTGCAGATGCCCTGAGTAGAGCCCCCCTTTGATGTGAGGACCGTCCCAGCGACAGCTTGTACGAGAAGCTGCTTCCTATTGCTGCACAAAAATCTGAAGGGAAAATTACGTTTGAGCAAGTGGCAGTTGCCTTGGAAGATGATACGACTGCCTTAAGTGACCCTGTGCAACTCGTACAAGAGCAGGCTCGTGGCAGCCGTCTTTCAAAACTGAAAACTATGGGCCAGGGGGTTATGCTTCCAAATTCAGACCCTGATCATCGCCTTCTCCATGATCTGGCAGAAACAACAAAACCAGAGCCAAGTGGCCTGCTTGTTCAGCAAAGAGGCAACAAGAAGGTACCATGGCTGCCCTCTCACCTCCAGCACCTGGCATTGAAAATGGCGCATGACCTTCCCACTGCAGCCCACGCTAGATTTTTCAAAACCTTGAGACGTGTAGCGGCACGATTTGTCTGGCTGAGCATGCGGGCAGACATATCAAAGTATGTGCAGGGCTGTGCTATATGTCAGCAAACAAAAGCTCGGTGCAAAAAGCCTGAAGGCCTGATGAACAGTCAGTGGACAACAGCACTCATGGAGGAGCTTGGCGTTGACATTATTGGACCCTTGCCATCTACACCTCGTGGCCACAGATGCTTGCTCGTAGTCATTGACAAGTTCACTTCCCAGAGCTATTCCCTGTGCGATCAGCAACCAGTACAAAAATACTGGAGTGTATGGTCAAAGTCTTTTGCCGCCATAGGACACCAGTGGCAGTCACCAGTGACAACGGGAAGCCCTTCGTCAGCACATTATGGCGCAAACTGCTGAAACACTGGGGAATCAGGGATCGGCATACTGTGCCTTACCGGCCGACTGGACAGAAGGTGGAACATCATGATGGCACAATTAAACAGTGCCTACGAGCATACTGTAGTAACCACAAAGACTGGGACCGTCATAAACCCGAAATCAGCCTTGCCATGCGTACTGCAGAAAGCGTAGTCACCGGATATACTCCAGCATTGCTTTGCTATGGCAGAGAGTTGCACACTCCGTGGGAACCTGCAGGGGACAAGGAGCACATGGAACCTCTAGAGGCAGCGCCGCACCATGCCCTTGCTGCAGAACTCCAGCAGTGCCTTGGAGAAGCCCTGAAGTACACCAAGAAGCATAAAGCAGCTGCCTGGCAGACCCGAGGTCATTTATGATCGTAATTGACAGTCAACAACCATCAGAGAAGGTGACCTTGTGCTCTTGGACACTTATACCTTGAGTAATGCAGCCAACGATGTTTCGGGAAAGTTGGCCCCGCGGCGAGGTGGACCTTATCGTGTGGTCAGGCAGGTTGGTGAAAATGACTTCATTCTGGGTGATCCAGTTACACGGCGTCGTCGAACCATTGCCAATGCTGATCAGTTGGTACTGTACCATGAACCATTGCTTCTCCCTTTCCCCCCGAAGTCAGGATTCGAGGGGGGGGGGGAGAGTTGTGAGGAATGAGAGGGAGTGCGGGGGGGGGTTGGGTGTGGTTGACAGTCGAGGAAGGAGGTGGCGCACGAGTGTCACGTAAACAGTGAAGGGGCACGCGGGAAGGAGGGAAGCGGGACGCGGGTAGTCGGGATGTGGCACGGAGAATAAATGGCTGTGTGAGCGCGGTTGCCTGTCGTCAAGTGTATCGTCGTATGTGACAGCACATTATAATGTAAAAAAAAAACAATGCAATGAATTGCTGAGGTCTTACGTCCTTCCTGAGATACATGAAGGCGAAATCCTTTTCACCTTCCTTGCCCCTTCATTGCACCATTCTTTAAATGTTTAAAAATATCAACCAAACAGTTTTTTTTAAACAAGTTATCTGAAATCTTCAGTGCTCTACATCAAAATTAATTTGCCTTTCTTTTTTTCCACCATAGAGTAGCAAGAAAGTATTTTGCTAGTGGCATTTTTGAAACCAAACATCTTGGAAACATGAATGGTGTAACAAATTGAGTGTGGCAAAGGCAACAGCACTGGTCCACGCATTGACATTTTATTCCATCCGCTATACATGCCATCTACGAATCTAGCCTAAGTTTTCATTTATCAATGGTATCCTCCAAAGTCTAAACATCATTACATCTCCTATAACAACTAGTCAGCCTTCATTTCTGCACCACGGTTAATTTAACAAAAAAAACAATAAAACATTATTTCAGTAATAAGTTAATATACATAGTAATTATTTACCACTAAGCGAGTGCTGCGCACAAACAAAACTTTACTCCAACTCATCAACGATTAATATTATAAAGATACGATCACCACTTGTGAAGTTGTTTGCACCTTGTGGCACACATCGTGGATAGGTCGCATTTTGTTTTAACTGCCGCCGAGCGGAAGGTGGTACTGGGATCGTGCAGGTTAGGGGCAGTGCAGTCTGGCGGAGAGGCCAGGCCGGCGCAAGCGAAAGAGTGGAGAGTCTCTCGGGCGTTTGGCAGCTATCATGAATGGACGTCTCCTGCAAAAGCTCCGCTGGCGAAGCCAACCGCGGGTCGTGTGTATCCCACGTAGTGAGTCGAACATTGGCGACGCCGCATTTGCGGCACCTTGTACTTGTTATATTTCTCGAGTGTTGTATTGGAACATTGTATAAGGTTGTTTAGCATTAGCGATGCGCCTGATTCAGCTGGCGATGTCGTCATAAAAGCAAATAAATTAGTGTACACATTTTTGTTGTCCGACCACGCCATCTGTTTCCGTGTGTTTAGAGAGCTCTCTGCAAGACCCCACACAATATAGGCTTTGCCTGAAGTTTTTATCACTTAAATTAGTATTTTGAGGTACTTAAATCCGCGTATCGAAAATTGCACTCTGGTTTATGTCTAGAAACTATGACATACCTGCAATGTGAGTGGCATGACAAGCTTCAAGATGGGGTCATCTGGAGTCTTGGTCTTCTCAACCAGCTCTAAAATCCAGCTGAGAAAGTCTTGGTGATCTAGTAGCCCTTCCTGCCAATGAAGAACAAGAAGAAAATTAATTGCAGGAAAACTTTATTTGGTGAAACGTATGTAAAACTATACTAATCAATTGGCTCTGGTCAGAGTAGCTATTTTTTAGCTCGTTACATAAGTAGAGACAGGGCAATGTTATAAGATGATCCCTTTTCAAAACGCACTCCCTACACTCAAGGGTGTGGCACGCCAACGAGCTTTGTTCACGCAATTCCCAGAAATGGTGACTTCCCCGCTTCCTTTATCAAGTCTACAAAGGTTCTATAACTATGCACGACACGTGGCTGCCAGGCTTCATTTTATGAATGTGAGAATTTCTATCAAAAGACCGATGAAAATTTTTTGAAAGATGTTCGTGTATTAAGTCAGTGTACTGTAAAAGTCCACTGAGACCACTCGATAAAGAACAACTGACGAGGAACCACTCATGAGAATCACCAACAAACTTCCTTTGATCTATGCGAATAATGGAAAGCAAGAGCTGCTTCAGTACTTATACGTAAAGAAGCAAGGAAATTTCGGGTGGTGTAACTCCTGTAAGTACGGGAGTCGGCAGGCAACCAGAAAGCATGACAAAAATACCATGCACCGGCAAAGACGCATCAACTAGCGACACCTAATGGAGCAGCGGTCACCGAACTGGAAGACAAAAAGCAAAAAAATGCAAACGACTGGGCAAGTGCATTCACACTTCGTCTCTGCAATGTGTTTTTTAGGCTTGTACGAATATTTGAACGATTCTAATATGCGAACAAATATTACAGCATTCAAATTCGCTTCAATTTGAATTTAAGTTAGCAGCAATTTTGAAATATTTGAAATGAACAAAGAGGTGCATTTTAGTATGCGTGTGATCGTGTAAAGGTGGTTATACTTCAGTGGAGGGGTGCTAAGCTGTGAAAATACCTATCAGAAAAAAATCTGCACAGCTGCAAAGCTCCACTTTAAGTTTAAATGAACATACTACCATTACATCAATTCATCATTATTTAAGTTTAAAACCTTGTTATACTGGCTTACATGCTTTAAGTTTATTGAATTTTAAACCATAACATATATAACAGGTTCTTAGTTGCATTCTACCAGAAGTCAAATCTTGCTACAACACTCAAAACTTGATGTAACAAATTATCAGTTATGACGAAGTTATTTTTGTTCTAGATGTGACTGTTAAAATGAGGTTTGAGTGTATACAAAGTTGGTTCCACTTCCTTTGAACTGAAAAAGATGGCATATGCAGAGGCCTTGTCTCAATTTTAAAATAGATTGTGCAGGTTAGTTGGGTCTTTACAACATGTGATATATACTGTTGAAATTCAATTCAAAATTATTCAAATCAAATCACTACTCACTTTAATTTCACCACGAACCTAAAGTTCACTATGCACTCAAGCCTAGCATTTTTGAGCAGATGACAAACAGGCATGTCAGTTCTTTTGTTGTGTCACTTTTTGCGCACTTAAGCAAGGAGTTCATAGAATCAGAGCGAGAAACAAACACAGCAAAATGAGCTAGGCAATCACACTCCATCAAAAACTTTCCCAACGTGTTCTTTCAATAAAGTTAATTGCTTTGTAATAGCCTGTTTTCAAATGAGCAATACCCCTGTCACACTGCAGATGTAATATCATTAGCAGCAAATAGCATTCATAGCGAACGCTATTGTGGTCTTGTGTTCCTGGCCTACATTGGTGCACAAATGTCATTCACAACTGACGTCGATGTTTGTTGTTGGTCCAGTGCATTTTTGCTTCTCATTATTCTCTGTTGAAAAAACAGCAAGATTAGCTTCCATGGTTGGAGGACAGATATTCACATAGAAATTTCTAACATTACTACCGCAACACCATTCCACCAAAACAACATTGACGAATTGAAACGAACGAATGTAAACATGGCCGCCAGGAGGCATATAGTCACGAGATTGGAAACGAGACAATAGTTGCATAAGCTGTTCCAACTATCACGATGCGCCCTGAAAAGTTATCAAAACGTTAGCAACTATAAATAAGAACCTCCACAAGGATTACATTTCGCTTTAAGTAAAGTCAATTTTGTAATTTTTTGCGCAGCTACCGTCACTGAGATTTCACATGTTGCACTAACTTAAAGTTTAGGAATTACCTTTACTAGACAAATTCCACTTGCTGCAAATGTCATTCACTATGCCTGTGCAGCAGCATTAAAAACAGCATTAACACATAATCACATTTGCTGCCCATGACTTCGCATGTACCTTTTAATAACTGGGGTGTAACACGAGACAGCGCAAGCAGGCATACTGACCTCGTAGAGGTGCGAGGCCAGGTTGGTGCAGTAGTGCCACTGCTTGGCTATGGTGGTGTCAGGAGGAATGCTGGGAGCAGCTGGTGTAGCCACAGGGGGACCAGGGCTTGCCCCACCTCCGCCACCAGGGCCACTTGGTGTAGTTCCACCTGCTCCCTGAGGGGGTGGCGGTGGGCCTGTAGGGTGGCTGTGTTCTACCAGCTTGTGCAGCAGCTCACGCAGAAACTTGCACAATGATGCAGTCCACTCTGAAACGAGCAAAAGGACAAATCTTCATGACAAGATCTGCAGCAATATAGATGACTCATGTATTTAAACAACCTTTCATGCATACTTGAGATAATAGCTTGTGCCAACACAGAAAACTTACACATAGGGATGATGAGTTAAGCTAAGCTAATCAATCACCAGAGTACTTGCCTTCTGTCTTAGGAATACCTCTCTCATTTCTTGGTGCAGCTGACTGTAATTAGAAAGCTTCTCAATCATAGTCTCTTGTGAATTTGATGCACAGCAGTGCAACACTCATAGTAACTTAGCAGTTTCACTTCAAATGAAAGAACTGCTTTTTGGCAGTAGACAGCAAGATTACAAAGACTTTCACATGCAATTACACGTGAAACCACATTGAGCCTGAATGCATTCATACGTACTGACAAAATATTCTCAGCTATATTACACCAAAGCGATATTGACTCAAGGTACGATATTTGCATGTTTCATGTGAAAGATTGGACGTGTATACATCTCCTCATGTCCTGCTTCTACTTTTCATCTTAGTACACAACAGTTCAATTTGCAGCTTCAAAGCATTTTTTGAAAATGTTTGCCCCCATAACACACAATCTAGTACTTTGTAAATGGAGGCTAGCATACTTTTTGTTTTCAGCTTCAAACAAGGTCATACAATGTGCAAGAAGTGTTTAAATGTTAATGTACATGCAATTACACTATAAACATAATATATAGTTACTAGTAGCATGAATAATAAAATAAGTGGTGATGCTGGGTTGAATAAATGCAGCATGTCCTTCAGACTACACTCTGAAGCAAGATCACGATAGAACACTTTGGTAATGCAAGAAAGCATTCAGACGGGAGACCTTACAAAGCGGGTATTTTTAATATGCCACATTTACACACAATAAAGTAAATGTACATAGCGTACCTTGGCACGGGTCTGGAAGTTGCCTCTTCTTCATTTTTGCCTCAGAAATGGCAACGTGATAAACTGAGGTCATTTTGATAAACCAAGCAGCCCGAAGCATGGGCACTGAGAATTCGAACAGTGTCAAGAATATTTCTTCCTTTTTGTTGAATATGGGAACCTGGGCAGGAACAAGCCATACAGTGAAGTAGAAAAAAATCATAAGAATAAAGTGTTAATTAAACTTGTCTGGGCTGAATGTAGTAATAGATATCAACTGTATCATTTACAGAGCATCAGATTTCAGAATAGCTGATGTAGTGCCCTTCCTTAATGGCAGAAAAGAACCCCCAAAAGTGAGCATGACAAAAAGCACCGAAAGGTCTGAACAGCTTTGCATATGTAATCACATATTCAAGAGATAAAACGTAAACTTACTTTACGAAAACCAGATGCAATCTTTCTACGCGTTCTGCCAAAACAGTTCATTCATGCAATTAAACTAATGTATGATCATCAGCAACCATACCCTAATGCAATGGGAACACAATGTAAAGATAGTCATAAAAGAAAGTCTATCTTATGCAAAAAATTTGGAGCCTTTGCTTAGCATCTTTTTCTCAAAACATTTTACTCGCAACCATAATTTACATCCTCATTCACCAAACTATCGCACATGCAACCAAGCGCTCCAAGACACTTGCCTTCTTTGCCAGGCTTGTAAGTGGTTTGGAGCCTGCAAGATCACGGAACCAAGCCTCAATAGCGTTCTTGGACCTTGCTGTAACCTGCAAGTTAAATTAAGAGTACAGCTCTACCACACTTTTCGCACATGTCTCAATTGGCGTAAAGTTGATGGCAAAGTTGAAACGCGTGCCATGTTCACACACACTAAAGAGCATGACAGTGCACCATGACAAAAACCAAGCGCACTTGAAACCATGCACTCGATCTTGGCAGGTACACTTTGAAGTCTTTTATGTGAGAGAGAGGTCCCACAAATAAACATATGCACTCTTGGCAACTCTCAGCAATGTGAATGACTAAAGCAGGAACAAGAATGCAACATTTCAAGTCACGCTAAGAGGGAACAATCGCTGTACTTACCGGCCAAAAGTGCTCTTTGGCATTGACCTGCTGCTTCTTTTTGGCCGAATCTTGGATTGTATTGAGTTCTTGTTTTTTAGAAAGGATGCCACTGAAGAAGGCTCCGAACTGAAATGGAATTATAAAAAGCTAACGTATCAACCAGCAATACATCTCGACTAAAGTAAACACACCAGAACAATAACCATGGGTCTTTGATGGGTCTTTAATTTTGGCTCACACTCAAGAAAAAAGATGACTCACTTTTGCGGACGTGATGTTTGCATTTCTGGCAGAACCATACTGAAAAAAAAAATACATCGAGTGGATTGTTATAGGTAATGTGCCGGCGTAGTCGCAAATGTAAGATCATAGCTGCGGGCACTGTAAACAATCATGTATGTTGACCAAGAAGAACAGCAGCAGTGCGACTGCTGTTTTGTTTAGCCGCTTACCTCGTCGTTGATCTGAGGATTCGTAATAAACCCCTGTTTCACGTTTATAGCGGTGAGCTCGTCCTGAGGGAAAGAAACAGTAGAATTAGGCGAAACATGTATGCGCAGAAGGAAGCTTAACACACTCACGCGTAGCAACGTAAGGCGCTCGAACACAGTTCCCAGTAAAAAAATACAACGCAAGTAATTTTATCTTCGTATTTGCGCAGGCGTTCATGCGCCAATGCGAGGAGTAGTGCTTGGGGAAAACACTTCGCAACACGGCGAACAAGCGCACCAAAAGGACACCGGAGAACAGACATTAAGCGAGTCCTCCTGGCCCATTGACTGATAGCGATAGGAGCTTAGGATCACCTCTTTTTGTTTCGGGTCCTGCGGATAAACGTCAGGAGGTCCCAATCGTGGCTTTTTTAAGTGCCTCTTCTCGTACAGCCACGAAGGGGCGGCCATCATTGTGCGGTTAACCGCCGGTTTGCAAAAAGCGCCGACAGGTGTCTGTTGCTGTCAAAGTAAAGAAACAGCCACAGAAGGAAGCTCAAAATGTTTGTCTTGAGTGCGCCTTTAATCACCCTATTTTTGAATAATTTTATAAAATTTTTTTGTGTGATAAATATAAATGTATTGTGAAAGTGGTTTTAGTTACATTAAGAAACTATAAATCCCCACCGCACATCTGCCTTTGTGGCGCAATCGGCTAGCGCGTTCGGCTGTTAACCGAAAGGTTGGAGGTTCGAGCCCTCCCAGAGGCGGTATTTTTTTTAACCATAGTTGACCTTATGAAGCCCGTGCTCCCAATGTCAATCGATAGCATTAATGTTCGCTTATGAAGACGCTTTTCGTGCGCTGGTCAAAACGAAGAGTTTTGAATAAAGGATAACACCTGCGTCAAACGATCATTTTTGATCGCGATCGGTACTAATTCAGATCGAATTTCTTGTTCGTGATTGGCTTCTTTATGCTGGCAGCAAAATGTAACCAGTCAGTGTTCAGCAGTTGTATGATCAGCATCACGTATAAGTTAACGCGATGCTGATAACGAGATGCTGATAACGATAACGAGATAACCACTGTAAGTTGAAATGAACTGCAGGATATCGCATTCAATTTTGCTGGTCGATGCCTTACCAAAGTTGACAAAAAAGTATGCGCAGCTTCAACTGACTTAGCATCGCCAAGGCTGATCAAACAGCGCAACTGTTATCAGCCAACGACACAGGCGCTGCCTTTCCTCCGATTTTGTCAACGCTCGGTGCGCCCTTCCTCTAACTAGGACCACCTCTGCTCCAGGACCACTGGCACATCCAATCGCGGTCAAGCTCTCTTTTTCACCACACCACCTGCTCCGCAACCGCATAGTTTCGTCTTCGCTTTCCTCCGACTCGCTTGCTGGATTGCGTACCGAACGGCCCCCGCGATTTCCCGCGCCAGCGCAGCTCTGGCCGACTGGTTCGCCCTCCGCCATCTCCTGACGCCGTGAAGCTCTCGCTGAGTGGTGCCCCGTCCTCGGATTCCTTCGACCGTGCCCCAGTCCTTCTCTTTCTCCATCTTTACTTCTCACTCTATTCTTTTAATCCCTCCTTATCCCCTTCCCTCGTGAGCTACTGCTGAGGTGTCGCACTTGCAGACAGTTGCAGGGCTCACTTTTCTCTTCTTTTCTTCTATTTAAAAATCACTCCTCCCCTCCTTCCTCCTCTTTAACCAGATTCACCCTCTCCACGTCACCACCTTTCTCTAACAGGCTCAACTCGCTGCACTAGGCTTGCTTCTCACCCACTTAGCTTTACCCGTGTTCTCCCTTCGTGAGGCTACGCTCTCTCTTTAGGCACTGCGCCGTGCTCCCGACCGGGTTGCAGAAATTAGGTGCCTTTTCTCATCTTCTAACCACTACCACCACCACGCTCTCTCAGCTGCTCTAGAAAGTGCTGACGATGATCCCCAGGGATTTTCGTCGGCTATTAACAGCTCGCCACTGAAAATCCCAATGGTGACGAAAGATGAACATGGCACCTCTTGCCATTCTCTCATTCTAGCGCTCTTTCCTTCAAGTTTGGTTAAGTTAAAACTTCATATATACCCCTGGGCTGCCGTGGTATATGAATAATTAACAGAAGTTACAGCGCTCAGCTGTTTACGTAAAATATGACGTCGTTCCGGATGGCTGCAGTGGTCATTCTTCAATGAAGGTGAAATGCTAGAGGTTTGTGTACTATGTAATGTCAGTGCACATTAAAGAGACCAAGTAATTGAAATTATCTGGAGCCCTCCGCTACAGAGTGTATTATAATCACATCTTGGTCTCTACATTTATACATCCTACGCGAAGTAGATAATCGTGCAAGCTTATTCCAGACTCCTAAAAAGTTGAAGACAGTTGACACTGTCAATGAAAATGACCAATCTCTTCGAAATTTTAAGGCTTGTAAACATGAGCTCAGACTTCAGTTTTTATCATCTTGACAAAAACAGCAACAGAAAAGTTACTTAAATATTCTACTTTGTTAACATAGAATCCTGAGCAAGCAACGCCCTCCTTTTTTCGAGAGATTTGAAATATGTGCCAATGACAGAACAAGCATTCTCCCCATTCCTTCCCGTAACTTTTACTGTTTCATAACAGTCCTTGAAACAGTGAATGCATGTATATTCAGTAGGGTACTTCATTACAAGCATGGGCATGTATTTTTTAACTCTTAGTGGTTTTTTGTCCGCCATCTTGATCTGCAACTGAGTAGAAGCCGCCCCTCGCATCAAAATCTTGTAGGATTATCTTTCACCATAGGGGTAACACTGGCTTGAGATTTTGAAGTAGGATGAAGGTTTATGGACACAAATAAAACATTTTCTATTTATTGCAAGAAGCCTCTACCACTCCAGTCTCTAGTATAGTCTTATTTTGGTGCTAAAGCAGCATTGTTGTGCCTTGCAGATATGATTCACACCTACACTCAGTCAGTGTATGGGGAATTGTGAATAGTCTTTTACTGGATCTGCAGTGCTCTTGAAGTTCGATATTCAGACAATGGCCTGTCTGCTTAATGCACTTTTATCTACATGAAAAAGGAATGTGGTAAACAGCACTACAGGCACAAGGAGTTGAGCTTACGCAATGTCTAGTGGTACACAGAGCTTATTTTGGCATCCGTTCCCTGCAGACACTTCTTCAGAGCTGGATTAATAGTGCCTAGCTTGTTCTTAGCCATGAATGCGACATCAACATTCTGTTTGACATTTTTTTTTTTACATTTCAAGTCTAAATTCATTTTTTTTATGTCCACTCAGGCACTCCATGTTAGATGTATAATGCCTGTGAGTCATTAAGGCACCTTGAGCATATCCACTTTTTTGCCAATGGCAACTAGCAGCAAGAAAAATGGGCATAGCCATACACAAAAGCAGGGGGGGGGGGGGTGTCAACCACCACCCCTACTCACCAAAAGGGAGCAGGAGTTCTGTTCTATGCCTTTACCCAGCCCTACTTCCAAGTCTTTTCATGTGCTAGTGGCATCCAAGAACCTCAGATGTTGCATTCATTGAACCGTTTACTTCTCGCCTTTATCACAGATAGCTAGGGACTTCCAGCAAGCCTTTGCGAGAAGGAAGTCATTGTTCCATTTTCACTTTTGCACTCAATGCCAAGATTTTTTTTATGACGACCAAAAGAAAATGCTGCAATAAAACTCTTGCCCCCCCCCCCCCCCCCTAATGAACCCTGCATACACTTATGCAGAAGGGAACAGCCCCATCACAGCTATTTTCTGCCTAAATTTAGCTTTACGGCAGTTCTCAAGGCTACATAAATATCGAAGTGCCCCTTTGGCATCCATGTTCACTATATACTATTGTCTTCTCAATCCAGAATGCTCATCATATGTAAAGAGCTTGAGTAACATTCATCTATTTGGCAGAGCTTTGCAGAACCCCAAAAACCATCAAATAACCTGCAAAATTTATGCAAAAATTTGCATAATATGGATGTATACCATCCATTGCTACATAAATTTTCAATACATGCAGGGGATCATTAAAATAAGCTAGCAGTCATTTTGAAAGTGCTCAGTTGTAAACAGGGGTGAAGCCTTGGTTGAGTGGAATTAACTAAGACAGAAAACTTGTGGAACATGAGTGTATAATATATATTTCCATTTTGCCACATTTCAACAGCCTAAAAGGAAGCAATAGTATAGTCAGTCAAAGATGCCAGCTTCAAAAAGTGCACTATGTGCAAGAGCTCAAAAGCACAGCTCTGCAACAAAACAAAACCTCAATTTGTAAAAAACTATACATGTGTGAGTAGCAAAAATTGCCTTTACACAGCAACATCTCTTATGGCAAAAGATTCAGGTGATGTACTAGGGAAAGAAAAGGCGCTTCTGCTGCATGAAATACGCAAAAAGAGGAAATGCGCCTATGGAGCTAAAATGAGAACATTAGTCGCTCACTAGTGGTTTGGCACAAAAAGAAAACAGTTCACGCAAACAAATATGCTACACTCTAAAACAGCAAAAAAGAATGTTTCAAGGCCATCAATGAGCGTAGCAGCGCACTCAGCAGTATTGCACACTGATAAACTGGTGCCTCATGCCCTTTCCTTCCCTTTAAGTATGCCCCCATCCCTGTTTTAATTTCCAGCATGCACCCCTCAGACAGGTATTATACGTTCACTTCTTCGAATGTTTCTTGGATTTCGCGGACGGTGGTGTTCTGGTGCTCGACGCCTGCTTGTCGCCAGCCTTCTTTTCTTGGTAAGTGCCCTCGGCGATGGTGGGTTCAACTGGTGCTGTCATGGCCGTATCCAGCTTTTTCTGGATATTCGCGAACGCATCCTCGCCCATGTAGTCAATCTGGCCACGCTCCCAGGCATACTGGCGTGCCTCTGAGCCTCCATAGACTGTCAGGTCTGTGTGAGTGCGCTGCAGCTCTTCTGCAGTCTTGATTGTCAGCTTGGACATCTCACCAGCAAGGCCGGCCTGAAAAGTGAGAGAACATTTTACTGGATTAGAAATTATAAGGCTAGTTGTTGCAGTGGCTCACTAACTTTCTGTACTCGCACAACAATAAACTGCTAGGGAATACTCATGAAACAGAGGTTATGCAAACCAGGTTTGCCTGCATGGTGAAGGCCATAATAAGCAGAGTTTATATGGCTGAAAGAACACAATGTCACAGCAATTCGCTTAAAGGCATCAGCTCATTTTAACACGTGCACAAGCTCTCATGCAAGCAAGCATTTTTAACTATACAGCTACAATGGGTTAGAAAACCAACTCGTCCAGCCCGTTACCCTTCTATCAAACATGTGCTTATTAACTGTTAAGAACAGGTAAAATCATTATGGGAACTGCCAGAATTAAGTATGCAATGCATTCAGTTATGCAACATAGCTGGGACAATCTGGACTATTATCCCTGCATTAATAATAATTTTATTGCAGTTACATTTGATACTTGCTCGCCATAATGTAGTTTTATAGCAGTAAGATGTGTATAACCTCACTTGAATTTCACTCAATTTTCAAGCAACAGTACATGTTAAGCTGAAATGTGATCTCTAAGAGCAACTCATCTCTGGGACTGTGTTGCCTTGACATGTAAAGTCGTTTAAGTAGATGCATAAAAGAAAAAGGTAGCCTGGCGTGAGAAAAATTCGTTTGAAGACCCAAAATTTCCCTTCTCAAAAATATACAGGCCAATTTACAGTGGCAGAGGCATCAGTAAATTTGGCTAACTTACTAACTGCACTGCAAACACAATTGGCAAGTTTTTTTATTTTATTTTTTTTTTTAAGGAAAACTAGAGAGATTGTTTAAGTTACTGAGGAAGTTGCACTCACACATTCTGGGAACAGCTTGGGTTGGATGTGCGTCATGAAGAGTTCCCACCAGAACTGCAGATGGTCGAACATGTGCTGGCTACTGCCGTGTGGCTGCACTTGACCTGTCAGGAGGTTGAACGTGTGATGCCATGGCTTCACAGGGCCCAGGAAGTGGACAATCTTTACATCCTTGCCAAATCTGCATGAAAAAACTGAAACCATGCAACCTTTCCTGCGTCGCAAACAGAAAGCTATCTGGGGGTGTACATAACAAAACAATACATGATACAATTACTATGAGGCATGCCATGGAAGGAATCTCACAGGCGACTTTCACCACCTAAATATCAGTACAAATGTTCATATTTTTTTCCAAATTCACCTCAGTCTGAATGTGGATGCTATGACCAAAATCAAGTTGCATTCGTTTTTGTATGCATTCATATGAGAAAGAACAGAAAATATCACATATCAGACAGCATACAGCTCATAAAACCTAAAGGTCTATTCAACATGAGCAACGTGCAAAAATTACATGTTTAATCACCAAAGACAACATTTTAGATTCAGGAGTGGTTGCATGCACAGTGAAAGCTTTAATACTATAAAATCTCATCCATTGAAATTCAAAGGGGACTATAAAATCGTTAAAATTACAGGGGTCAAATTTGCAGGCAGGCACTAGAATGAGTACACATCACATGGGCAGAAACCAAAGAAGCCACCTCTAGACTCGTTATCCCGAATGAGGCGCTACTACAAGTTTGTGGCAGCTTATTTCTAAATTATGTTCACGTAGCTCTAACAGTGAACTGAATTAGCAGATCAGACAGTGATACAGCAGAAACAAGAGCACCAGCTGTTGCATCTGGTGCTCTAGAGAAGCAATGATGTGTCGCCTTCCGCAAACCATTCCATCTTTACTCAATCGAACCCGTCTTATTGCATAATGAGCAGGGTAATGGCCATGCACATTTTTGACAATAGAGTAGACTAAGTAAACTGCGAACTGTTCACCAGAACTGCTATATACAATCGAAAACCTTTATAAGAGGCACTGACATAAAAGACAAATGGGTATAAAAGACGACAGTGTGCCTACAATAGAATACGGGTTGATAAGAAAATGCATATGTGGTACCCTGTTTACAAGAGACATCTTATATATAAGACAAGAATTGCTGCCTGAAACATGTCTCTTATAAAGAGGTTCAACTGCAAGTGGAACAGCTTCCTCTGAAAGAATGCGTTTTGTGCATGTATTCTGCAAACCTGTTCATCTCAGTAAACGGAACTCCTATAAAATGGAACATTTTCCCAGTCCCTTCAGGTTTCGTTTAATGAGAGTTTAACGATATCCATTATCAGCGGCCTCTCTTCAGCAACCAGCCAGTTCGCAGTGCTGAATGCCCCGAGACAATGAATATTCAAGACTACGGCTGCTCACTGCTTTTGATTAATATGCATAGTCTGCAAAGCTAAGCATCTGGTGTCCTATGAAGCATTATCTGCTTTTCAAACCAGATGACCTACCACAGCAGAGCAGGAGTCAAGAGAAGAAAACGTGGAGCCCCGAAATGTTAGTGGCCATCAAAAAGTGGTCATGTGGCTTCACAAAGACAGTAGAGGGTAAGCTTTTCTTGTACTTTTGATTTTAAAGGCTGATTACATGACTTTGGACTACATGCCCCTGTCACTACCGTTCTTGGCCCATTAATCTGTCAATCCTTCAGTAGATGCAACCTGCAAGTAAGTGAAGATGGCCCTGTTAATATCTTCTAATATGACCGATTTCAACCTTAAATTCTGCCCCCTTGTTCAACTGTTAGTAAACTGAACACATTTTCCAGCTCCCTTCAGGTTCAATGATGCATTTCAAGCAGAGTTTGATGCAAGAAAATGTGTACTCACTGTTTGTATGCAGGCAAATAGGTGTAGGACACATTTGAGTTCATGTTATAAATAAAGGAAAGATGTTTGGTGATGTCCTTTGTTGACCAGTCATGATAGTACAGATTCAGCAGGCCTTGGTCACCACCTAAAAAGCATCAGAGCATAAAGTTAATACATAATGATCTCTCCTTGTCTTTTACATATAAAAAAAACTGAACTAAGTGTGAGCGCGAGGTCTGATGAAGCTCAAAGATCTGCATGATTGGTGTGTCGGGCAATTTCCAGCCACAAAAGTAGCAGTTTTGATTTTGGAATAGCTGGCATAGACAGGCCTGCTTAAATGACTGTGGCACTTGTGAGCATATATTATGAGCATATATTGATTAATCAAGATGATGTTTGGAAACATGTAAATGACTTGTACGTAGTAGCTTGCACAAGTACAGATCTTGAAATCTGTACATGTAAAGTAACACTTCAATCGCAAATATTGTACAAGGTTATTTAGCATGTTTGATCACGATTTGATGTACAATAATTCATCTGGTGATATCGTCACTCTAAATGTAGTTAAATGTGTGTTTGGTTTGTTCCGACTGTGTCTGCTGTGGCCGTTCACTCCAAGAGCGTGGTGCTTTCTCCACATTGAGACCCCACAAAACATGCTGCATCTGCATGATGCAACTGCTGTACTGTAGAATCTATGCAAAATTTCCACTAAAGTGGAACTATGGCCTCTAATTAGGCTGGTTTTGCACACAAATGCTGCTCCCGCACCTTCCTCAGTAACGAAACTCCGGTTAAAACATCTCAGTTCCTTCAGTTTTCCTTTAACAAGATTATCCTGTAGTTGAGCTAGCCCGCATATTCTCTAGGAGGAGTTACAAATGGCCTTTGTGTTCCCTCAGTGTCATTGTCCCTTTGTTTGCTAAAAGCACTTTGTAACATACAAAACAAAAATCCAAGGATTCCAGAAAAAGCAATCACTTGCCATCAAAGCTGCCATGCTCTCCAGCAAATGTGATGAGAGCATTGTAAGTGGCCTCGGAGGGGACAAAAACAAAAACGCCAGAGTTGAAGCAGTCAGGCCAGCCAACGTCCGGGACAGCAGAGAGTTCTTCCTTGGAAAATAGCTCGTCACAGTTTTGGAGGACCTGCAAAGGGAAAAAATTGAACATTGTTTTCGGTCGTACAGCCATGCGTAAGCTTCGTGCTGAACTGGGCCTGCGGGGACGATTTCAGCGAAATGGTGAGAGCTTCACGAGCTACATTGAGGATGTGATCAGCCTCTGTAGGAGAGTTAATGCGAGGATGACGGAGGCTGACAGAATAAAGAATACATTGAAAGGCATTGATGACGACGCTTTTCATATGCTTGTGGTCAAAGACCCACAGACCGTCACGGCCGTGATTCAGCTATGTCAAAGTTTCGATGAGCTGCGCAAGCAACTAATTTCTACACGTCGCGCTAATACGCAAACAGCTGATATTTCGGCTTTGGAGTGCGAAAGCAGTGGCCCCGACTACAGCGTGTTAATGCCTCAAATTCAACAGTACATCCGGGAGGAAGTTGCTCGACAGCTCTCTCTTGTCGCCACCATCAACGAGACCCCCAGCAGATTCTACATAAAAACAAGCACTCAATACCTCTGTTTAGCCTAATTTAGTCTAATTGACATCAACCGATACATGAGCAGTACAAAGGCCAGGTGTATATCATCAACATACATTTCTTATGCTAGCTACTTTCTAATTATGCCTGTTGATTTCCCAACTTCCTCACATGACCTAGCTAATTATATTCCTTTTTCAACCACACTTTTTTCCCTATCAGCAGCCCACCAGGCTTTGTCAAAGAGTTGAAATTATGACGAAATTGTGGGATTGAAGGAAAGGCTAAGGTGAGCAGGCATCTTACAATTTATTGCTCCCTTGATTCAACTGGAAAAATCGAACAGTAAATATAATACCAAATAACATTAAAGACAATGATTGTTAAAGTTTATCAAGAAAATTAGACCTCAAGCTACCTTCTGAACCGCAACAACAATGTCAGCGGAATTTCTGGAGGTATACATTATACTTTAGGTAAAAACAACATCGGGGCAGTGGGCTCATAATCCTGGAAAAAAAGAACTGCTTTTCATTTTCTCACTGAGGAAAAACTTAAAATATTCCAATTAAGCTTCCCTAGCACATTTAACAACTTTTTAGATTAAAATGCTGTGGCTTGCTACAACTGTGACAAAGCATTGCCATTTTTAAATAGTGCTTTTTTTATGGATCAGTTTCAGGCAAAAACTTTTCTGAGGGGTGGGGGAGAGTCAGTCATACTTTATGCATGTGTGTATATATGTGTGCATGTATATATACACATGCAAAAATTAGTTTTGAGGGGGGTTTGAGCCTCCCCCACGCTACACCAGTGCACCCAGCAACACATGTATCCAAGCTACGCCTATGGTTCATCTGCGTTCCCCTGCATGAATACATTTTATCGTGTGCGATTTGCTAACTGGGTAGTAAGCAGCAAGCTTTCTGTAAGCATTGTATTGTGTCGCACAGCATCCCCAATGTCAGACGCATTACGAGCCATTTCTTATCCTTTTACAACTTGCCACAACATGTGCGCCCTGTAGGTAATCGTTAACCTTTTCAGCTCACCAGGGTGTCGGAGTCCATGAAGACACATTTCTTAAACTGCACCAGCCTCCAACAGTGCAACTTGGTGAATGTGACGCCCAGTTCTGGCCGATTGAGGAGGGCAAGGTTCGCAGGATCTCTGCTGTCCAACAGGTTCACCTCCTCCACAAGGTCGAAAGCCTGGGCTAGCAGCGACCTGGTTTGCCACAATGAATAAGGAGGTATGATAGTGTTTTGTTAAAGCTTACGATTAAGAACTTCTAGAAATGTGAAAATATTCAAAACATTCCAACTTTAAAGCCCTAGAAGTACAATTTCTACTTTTTAGAATTTGCTAAGATTATTTGAATATTCATTGCACTGTTTCAAGTAATAAGACTTCTTGGATTCTTAAAATGAGGGGCAATGAAACCTGGGACTGTTCCAAATTCTGCTTAAACATCAGAGTATTTGAGATACTAAAGTAGAACATTAGTTTCTTGTTTATAAAAAAATCTCAAAGCTCAGCTATCAAGGAACCCAGCTGAAGATGGTATGAAATGTTCTCCATAGAACTTTTCTACATCTCATGATGGCAGTGTTAAACCTTTTTTATGAAAAGGACAGGAAGTTTTGCTGCCAAATGTGACATAATGAAGTCTTAAATTAAAAAAGGTGTCCGAAGTATCCTCAATACACCTGCGCAAGCATAGGTAGTATTTTTTTTTTTGTCGTCATAAAGGGAAAATGGTGGAACGTGATAATGACTCCACAACCTTAAAAACAAATGACACCTTACTGGTTAACTATTAGATCAGTAGCTATCAATTCTCTTGCTGTTGTTTCCAAGAGTTTCAACTTGCTATTTACAAAGTGGGTCTTCCCTAACACTAACTTATCGCTCGCAGCAATGGACAGTCTTCATGTCCTAAATATGGGACACCAGAGCTCAGTGGTTGTCAGACCTCTGAATGCATTTAGGCCAATCCAGATGTGTAGCTCTTGTAAAAGCTCCCGGTTTCTTGTTATTCTGGTCGAGAAACCTGTAGACATCACTTAGATAATATGTAAGGGGCGTCTAATAGTGAGATAATACGTAATATATTTTAATTCGTTTTATGAAATATAATAATGGTGCATGATGTAGCTGGAAGAATACGATGATAAAGTGTAGTTTAATTAGCTTACCCTTGCAAACATGGGCAAAATTCTGGCACTGCAAAGCAGGATTCATCCATTTTTTATGACGTAGGATCTTTCACAGTGTTCAATAAGTAGACGGTGGCCAAGTGCAATGAGGAGCTGTGTGCCACGAGCGCAAAGACTTGCCTTTGCACAGTTTGGGCGCTCTAACTAATACGTGGTTGCTGTATGTTAGCTTCCCAACGATAACTTGCACTTACAGGGCTAAATAAACATGTGTACTTAAAATCATCATATTTCACTTTACAAGCACTAAGCCCCGGTGTTCTACAATAGGATATGGTGCCTTTTGTATACTGATGAGATGTTCAGAAAAAATTATTTTCCTGTTCTTGAGGTTGTAGTAACTGAAAAAACAAGAAAAATAATATCTGAAAGTAAAAAAAAAATTCAGGGCTGAAAGGGTTAATCCTTTCATTGAGACATGTAATCCCTTCATTGAGAAGTCTAGCTTTCAATGCTTATTTTGCTTTAAGGATGCTTTACACCTCTCTCCCTTTATCAAAAGTATCTTATTTTATGATCAATTTGACATTCAGGGATTATTTTTATCAAATATTTCATTTAAATAGCAGATTTTAGTCTGAACGTTTTACAAATTTTCTATTCAGTGTTTTTGCCCAAATAACTCATTAATCCTGATATTAACTCATATCCTCAATGACTAATTTATATATTCTGCAGCTACAAGGTTAATCCTGAGTAATCTAAAGTGTGCTACATAAATTGCCCTAGTAACATTTTTACATACATGCGCACTCCAGATGAGCGTTATCCCAGCAAAATAAATTTAGGCACGACAGGTTCTATAGGCAATATCAGCACCCACATAAACTAGGGGGAGCAAAATATGCACAATGGTCCCAGCTAAAATGAACAGATCAATCTCCGGTGGAAATTAGCTAGCATTACTAGATGCAAAAGAGATGGCAAGAGCATTGTGTGTTGGGGGGGGGGCTTTGAACTGCAGTGAAAATAAACTTCCCACTTGTCCTCACCTCATCTGTGTAGTGACTGCACTGGTGACAAGGATGACCAGCTGCCGTGAGGTATGCACCCTCTTGAGCGAGTGAGCCAACACAAGGGCACCCAGCGAGTAGGTGTCGTCCGTTGCCAACGTGACATATGCTTCATCAGTCACTGCATGTAAAAAGAATGACGTGAAGGAAACCGTAACACACACCGATTCTTAGATGACTAATACACCACTTTAAACGAAATTTCAACTTTTATCAAGTGATTTGTAACAAAAGAAAGAAACAGTATTCAATCTAGTTTTTTAAAAGTGTGGGACTCTACAGTAAAAAGAAAATGTCAACACTTGCTTAATGAAAATTATAGTCACTAGAATCTTTTAAATATATCAATAGACCACATACTGTAATGTATTACGGAATTGTCAAACTTTACACCAGAATAATGATGGCACTATCCCTTGTACTGCAAAACTAAAGAAAGGAGAATTCGGACGAAAAGGTACCAACAGTCATAACATGACCATTAACATAGATGCCTATGATGCTACGGGAGAACATAGCGAGACATCTAAGGATGCGATTGGAATCTCTGCCTTGAATCTGAGCATGGAGGCTCGTATAAAGAGCATATAAAAACATGATCATATACAAGTATATAAAGACGGCGTTCACATAGCAAAGTTTGACGATTAAGGAGTAGCACCGTGTTATCAGATTTTTGACAGCCAAAGGTGTTAAACAGGCCAACATTCATCACCTGCAATTACCATATGTGTCTAGTCCCCTAAAGAAACATCTGAAAGGGAAGTGCTTTACCTAGTGCGACAGAGACCCTTGGAAGGACTGGGTCTTGTCATGGCCACAGGAATTATGGGAACAAGAATTTCTTCGGTTCGTTCATCACTGATATCGTTGAGATAGAGCGCATAATGCATATTTTGAATAACATCTTTATACTCGCAGTGTCATTTCGTACCTATTCATTAAAACTACCTACATTTTATGTGAAATTAATAGTCAATTGCGCAGTTGCATTTCTCAACTCTTGTAGGCAAGAATCACCTTTGAAAAACTTCACACTGCTTAATTACTTCACAAAACAGCCCCCCAATAGTAAAATTGGGTAGTGTTAGTGCATACTATCTCCCTCCATCAGTAATGGTGCTACCCTTAACATTTTCAAGGTGGTGCACCATCAGCACAATACTACGGTTCTGTGGGTAAGGTCTGATCAGATTTAGAAGAAGCAACGTTTCTTGATGTTGAGAAAATTTTTCATGCTCAGCAGATGATTCAGGAATGAGATCACTGTGCTAGTGAATGAGAATGCAAGGATTAATGTGAAATACGGTTGCAGCATTAGAGATTAAACATTTAAAAGTACCTCTGGCTAACTTGTCATGCACTTGACCACACAGCCATAATGCACAAGTTAGTGACCAAAACGAACAAGAAATGCCCCTGGTGGCAACTTTTCCACGAGTGGACTTGCCAAAATGTGGCCCCTAGCGGCATTTTTTTTTTTAATTTTTCGGCGACTTCTCATCCCTTCTCCGTACTTGGCGCGACAAAAATGAACTCGTTAATCAGGCAACTTCCTACGAAATAAATGTATACAGTAGAATTCAAAACAGTGGATCGCAGACCGACCGCAGTACCCAGGTGAAAATTTCCTGCTGGTTTTCTGTTGGGAGTTGTTGGTTTTTGATGGAACCAGCAGTTAATCTGCTGGTTTCTTGCTGGTTGTACTGGTTCCAGCAGGGTGCCTACTGGTTTTCTGCTGGTTCCAGCAAAGTGCCTACTGGTTCTTACTGGTTTGCTGATGGTCCCAGCAAGCTACCTGCTGGTTGTACTGGTTCCAGCAGTGTGCCTACTGGTTTTCTGCTGGTTCCAGTGGGGTGCCTACTGGTTCTTTACTGGGACCAGTACCCTGTCTGCTGGCTCTACTGGTACCAGCAGGATGCTTGCTGGTTTTCTGTACTGGTTCAAGCAGGCTACTGGTTTCACCCTGGGATGCTGCTGGGACCATTAGGCAATACCGGACGGTTCTCAGCTGCTTGAACTGATTATAGTGGTGGTCCACTTCGTGGTTTCCTGAGAACTCTAACTAGCCGAAACATTCAATCATGAGGCTTGTATCTTCTGATTATAACTAAGACTTTACTGTACTTGAAAGTGGTGTGCCAATACATTGAGCAATTAAGATGTAGTATAGAGAAATATGACGTAGAGACTGTTTATACAGGTTTCAAAAAACAAAAGTCAAGGGAATTCAAGGCAGTGTCTTGGGTTTTCGAAGGACTAAAGAAGATATCCAAAGAATATTTTTGTGGGTGCTCTGCATTTCAACATTCTGACTAGTTCTAATAAGTTTATATTATAATGAACATAGTGCTTGTGATAGTGAAGCCTTTATTCCACAAGAAGTAGTTCACTACACACAAAAAATGTTCAGATTAGCTGCGGAGACTTTTTAAGCATAAACTAGGCTTTGCTTCGTTGGAGTATACTAACTTAACATGCTGCTCACATGATGGGGAAACCAATTTTGTGGCATAAATGCACGAGACATAGTGAAGCAGAGAGATAAGTCGAGAAAGAGACAATGTACGACAAGGTTGACGTACAGGTGGGGAAATGAACAATAAAAAATGTCGTGAAGAAAACAGTGCAACACCAGAAGGGAGCCAGCACCTAAGCCACAGTAGGTGTCTATCGCTTCATTAACAGTGTTTCATATTTTTAATGCCCTGAAGAACAAAGCATATTGGTGCTGAAATGAAGTTTGGTGAATCTACACTGCTGCCTAAGCACAAAGAAGCAGCTCATAGACAAATTCCTAGACTTTTAGGCTTCGAATATGTTCTTTTTTATTTCAATGGTTTTATTGTTATTTAATTTGGAAACATACATGTACAAAGGATACAGAGAAAAAAGGGAGGAATTTTGAAGAGTTGCATGCACCCTGAACACACAAGGTGTGTTCAAATATAAAGGGGTGCTCAAACGTTCCCAGGCTGCTACGCTTGTAATCTTATGACAGCACTGCCTGGGAACATTTGACCAACCCAGTGCACATTAAACCTTGTACTGTACAACAGCGCACACTTTCTCTTCTTTTTTTTATAATACAAAATGTTTACACCCAGAGACAGGGCTAAAGCTGGGCTTAAACAATGAGAATTGTCAATACTCACAATCATGAAGTTTATTAGTAATTCAAGAGGCACTCGACAGTATACAGCATGAATTTGCACAAATTGGCAATAGCTAAATCAATTGAAAATGGCATTTCTCACTTCCTCTAAAAACAACTGTTTCACTGCACAATCCACAAACATCTACACCTGCAGTTCACTGACATGTGGAGGTTCTTTTTAACAGCCCATTCATTTAACAGCTTGACATGCAATGACAATGCGGTGTACACATCTGAGGTTTCTACTCATATCATTGTAATTTAGAAGGTGGCTTGAGCAGTGAATTATTAATAAAGCCACAACACACAAGGAACAAAAAAAACTAATTTTACAGATGTGAAGTGTTTCTGACAAAAAGTACAAAAAGTAGGTATAAGAAGGTATTGGTGCGATTTTTATATGATGAGACCTTTTTATAGAATGATGAAACTAATTCAATGTTGCTCTTAAGCGTCCCTTTAACAACCACCAGAGAGCATTTTCAAAGAAATTCTCTGAAAAAAACACTTTCTATTGACCTCTACATAGTTGCAAGGGACAACACTGGCAGACAGCTCCACTAGCTGTTGGGAATTCGCATCCTCTGATTTCATTATGTGCTCAGTGCCAAATGCACGACGTGACAAGAATTTGTTTGACAGTGCAAAAATCCTTACATTTCTTGACGAATCCCTAATAGAAACAATGTGCTTCAACTTCAAGCACGTTCCCAAATATATTTGCAATACAGTGCTGTCACTTTTGTTCGGCCTTGAGTACTGCTCACTGTGAAACCGAACACCCGGTGATACAATCACTCGGTCATGTTCCATGACACGGCCCCTAACGATGTTGCCAACATGGTCCTGCACAAGGTGAAGCAGCTGGTCAGACACAGCTCGGGGTTTGCTGAGCAGTAAACCACCTTTACTATTTGATGGGCCAGCTTTTGTCAAAAACTTCAGAGTGCAAGGGCTAGCTGAAGCCTTTAGATACCTGAAGTTGCTGGCCATCATTAAGCGCTCTACAATCTGCAGTGGGGCACCTTTTGCTGATGTGACCAGCTGCTTAATTTGGCCAATGTTAGACTCAAAAGCAAAACATGAATGTGCCCAAAGAGGTCCTTGGTTCAGAACACTCTGAGCCATGTGCAACAATTGATGTACATTGAAAGTCATGTTTTTTTCTCCATAGAGAAACTGCATGTCGACAACAAACTTTACCAAGCAGTCTGTGCTTACAGAAATGTCACTGAGGGACACTGTGTCCTGCAGAAGAAGGGCAATACCTTTCACAAGCAATGCAAAATGTTTAAGATACTGCCGTGGAAGTAGGCCTTCCAGACAAGGCAATGAAAAATACAGTAGCCATTGCTGCCACTCCGAGGCTTTCCAATACTTTCTCAGAGAAACTGAGCGGGGAAGTCGTGGCATACAGCTATGCGGCTTTATAGAGCACAAACGTTGATCTAATACTGCCACAGTTTGTGGTGCCCCAATGTAATATTCCTCGCCTACATTAGAGAGCCAGTCCTCCGTCATCTGCCGTGCCACACCTAGAAGCACACAATGCATATAATCTGGAGTAAAGCCCCAGATTATATTAAAGTGCTGAAGATTAATCAAAGGCGTGATGCCTTTTGCTCCCTGTACTGGTCTTCCAGCTTCAGCAGCCTTGGCCATGATTTCCTTTGTGCCTTCTGCTGTCCTGTCAGGTGAAACAGTGTCCACAGGATACTTGACAGTTCCTGTTTGGCAATAGTAAGAAAAAAAAACAGAGAACCTCACAAATTTAGAAGTTTGTAAAATCTCGCACAGCTAAGCTTGATTGTAAATGGCACACTTGTTTTCAGTGATATTTCTGAGAATTTACTTCTAGAACACATTTAGAAAAACATACTATGTGCCAGAATTTGGAAACATAGAATCGCTACGACATAAAGCACATTTTTGCCTCTGAGATGAGAAATGGCAACCCCAGATAC